CAAGCAGTCTCCTATTACAGCAAAATGCATGTGCTCTACTACAACATTCCAAAAACCTTCAAGTAAGAGCCACCTTTATTATTCTCTTGTCTTGTAAGAAAAGGGGAACTATCATTGAAACAGAATGACAGTAAATTTAAAGCCATAAAAAAATGTTATTCATGGAATACTTAAGGATTCTGGTAGATCTCGTTGTGTTATAGTCCTATCTCATGCCTGGAATGGGATGGTTAAGTATTTTAGTGATCATTAACTACAGTTCAAATAAAGAAAATTTTCAGGATATACTCACCTCATACTTCTAATCATAAGGAAGTGGATAAGAATTAATGCACTCCCTATCCTTAGCATAGCCTTGTGGATTTATATTGTGTGCCATTATGTGGCATGGCTGACACTTCCTGAAAAATTGACTACACAGGGGTCTGTCAGTGTTCAACCTTAGATCAGAAGTGCATTTTGAAATAAATTTTCCATGTTAGCATCACTTGCAATGGTTCACATGGGGGACAGTCTTGTAACAAATGAACTGAATTCCTTTTAGATTAAACTTAATTGGAAGTTCACTCTGTAGTTACTGGTGGGAATTCAGTCCACAGGAGCAGACCTACAGCTAATTCAGAGTAAAATTATCTGAAAATGCTTGTGTGTAATCTCTTGAGTACTCACAGAGCCTGTGCTACCCTGTTACACATTACTTGCTAGTGCAAATACAGCTTATAGAAACTCATCTAGGCTTTAGGTTCTTACTCTTCCCAAGGGTGATTTCACTGATTTATTACTGAAGTACCGTATAGAGAAATTGGTACTAGGGAAGGGGGCCTGGAATGTGCAGTGTAACAAAAAAAACTATTTCTGTTTTTGTCTCATGAATTTCCAGAAACTGTGCCTTTATAGTTAACAATCTATGGTAATCTTTCCTGTGGTCTTACCTTGTTGAACCTTGAGTTCATGTAAAATTGTAGCATTTACAACATCCTTTAGCAAGAAATTCCTGAACTTAACCATATGCTATGAGAAGAACTACATTTGCTTGTTCCAAACCTGTCACACATTAGGTCTTTTCCCTAATGCTTCATAGCTGTTGTGTTTGAAGGGATGGTAATTCAGAGTTCCCAACCCATGGCATCCGCACCATTCATGATGTTTAAGAATTCTTTTCTTTCTCTTGAAGACGTGGGGAAAAAAAAAAAGACAGTTTCATAGCTGTTAGCTATTTGTTAGCTGAGATCATCAGAGAAATCAGGATAATTTTTTTCTTTCTATAATATGACATAAAAATGCTCAGACCATGTGGTCCAGAATTGATTTCATAACTATGTGCAGTAATAGAATCTTAAGAAGAAATGAAAAGGAATCTTCTAATATGCTTCCAGTTAGCAGTGGCTGAGGGGTTTTCTGAGACTGAGAACATATTTTGGACCATAATGCTAAACAAACACTATTTTTTTAACCTTCTGTGGTGTCCAGAGTGGGGTGTCTTCCACACAGATGCAGTGTGTGTCTACAGTGTCTTTGTCACTGTGTCCCTTTAAAGGCCTGTAGATTGATGCAGGACTGAATGTAAAGTTAAGAGTGAAATTTCTAGTGCTTGAAAGGCCATACTAGTTCTTTGTTATTTTAGCAGAGATCACCATCCAAGTGCTTCTCTTGCAGTCTGTATTCAAGTTGTAATCACACCTGTCTCTCCTACAGTTATGCTGCATTAGGGTATCTCTAAGAGCACTAAAAAGAGAAAATCTTTTGTAGGAAAGTACTTGCAAAAAAAATTAAAATTATTAGTAGCCCTAACACTGGTGTGAAAATGGTCTTTAATAATCAATAACTTCTGTGAATATAAATAAAACATATCAGAACTAGCAATCCCTATGTGCTGTCTTTGATGCACAGGTGTCTATGTTAATTTGTACTTTAATCTAGACTATTCAGACAGGTTGAATTACCAACACAAGCTGGTTTTGTGGCCATTCAGGCACACTTTTCCTACAAGTACATTTTTTCCGGTATACACAACTGTTTATTTCTACTGGAGCAGCTCACAACCTGGGGTTTCATGTGTTGTGGAGGGATTGAATGCTGGAGAATCAGTGCTAATCATATACTGTTAGCCTGATGTTCTCAGAAAGGTGAAATTAATTTTCAATCTCAAAATTTCTAATTTGGTGCAGAAGACCTCCTTTCATAATTGAAGACATCTGAAAGTCAGTGCTTCTTCTCATTCAGAGAAGGCAGAAAACATAATTTCTAGTGAAATATGGAGGGTTCCTATATTTCAGTCCAACAGTCCCTGCCAAATCTCCCTATGACTTACAGTGCACAGTTTATTTTATCAATTTTATCAATTACTTTATTTGTGAAGCTAGCTTTCAAATAAATGCCATCTTACCTGAAACTTCAATCCTTAGGAAGAATTAGCTCAAATTTGTAAAGCAACTTGAGGAAGGAAAGTGGTGGTTTATTGTTACTTATCATTAATATGTTTTTATTGCTGTGTAATTTTCTCTAATGACTCCCTAAAAGCCAAATGGCTTACTAAATAAATGAAAAATGATCCATCCAGAACCAGACAAGCTGCTCAGTCTATATGTTTAAAATGTACAGCTGATGGGCTGTGGAATTAATGTACTGAATTTAGACTTTTATTTTTGGAGATTTTGGGAGAGAAAGGTTTTCCCATTGATGTTATGAAGCAGAAAAAACCAGAACACTTTGTGCCCATGAGAGACTGAAATAATTATTTTTTATTTTAATGCACTTTGGAACAAGGAGGAGTGAGATTTGTTAGAAACATTGTGAAGCACTAGAGTAAGTAAATGAGGAAAGAGTGTTTTGTCCAGTGTCAGACCTCTGTTCCAGCACTTGTATCACAGTTACTGCTCTTATGCTCACACTGAATGGCAGGCAAAATGTGACCAGCCAGAATTATCTGGCCAGCTTGTCTTTGTTAAGCCACTTACTACACTCCATTGCTAAACCTGAATATGCCAAATCACAATCATTATGGAAAACCTACTCTTTGAATTTCTCTGAATGTAAACCCTGAGGCATTAGGGGGAGGATTGAAACAAAACTGCAAATATCTAGTCAGAGGTGACACAAGCTTTTTCAGGAGTTGGGCTTGGTGATGAGGTCCATGTGGCAAACTGGTTTGAGTGCATGCTAGAGACACCTGTATATGAAGCTGCAAGATGTACTTCTGCATTCTGGGCAGGCAGGTAGAGCCTCCTACTGTTCCGAGTAGCAATAGAATTGTTCTCAGCCACCATGTATAGACAGATTGTAGCTCAACACCTCACTTCAGAAGACCAAGGCATCTCTGCATGATTTTTTTGGTGGTTTATTTAATTCTCCTTCTTGGTGCACTTGACCTTTTCATTTCACTGAGCACTAATAGGCTCATTTGTCCTGCAGGGTAAGAAGGACTTTAATAACAGAAGCAGTGAGGCAATGACCTGTTAGACATTACTAAATCAGCTTATAACTTTTTTTTTGCATTGGGTCTTGGGCATTTTCCAGCATGTAGGAGATTTAGGTATTACTCAACTTGTTGAAAAGAAAACTGTCTCACAGATTCATCACTTGGTAGAGAGATTGAATTAGAAAATTCTGGTTGGTGATGGGCTATTTACAGAGGTAGAGAGAGGATTGATGGAAGGCCATGAAAAAGGGATCCAACCAACTGCAAATCTGAAATCTAAGCAGTAAAGACAACTGGCAAACTGTTCACTGAAATTGTAGACTTTCCATCTCTCCAGCCATCAACCCAAAAATTTTTTATCTCTGACTAAAATAACCTTTAACTCAGCTCAAAATTACAGACTGTATCTTATTGTTTGTTGCCCGTGTTGCATGCAGAAGGATATATACGACCCAATTGTCTTTTCCAGCCTTAGAATTTACTGCAAAGTCATATTGCATTCTACAGAAAGAAATTCCTCTCTAGGAGAGTAAAAGTGCATTTTCTGGTTGGGGTGGGCTTTTCTTGCCTTAAAAATGCAAAGAAATAATTTATTTTAATTGTGAGATCTGAATCAAGCCATACTGGGTTTTTTTGGAGCTTACTGGAAAGATTTTAATCTGAGTGAGTTTAATAAAATTATAAACTTAATTACTTCACTTCCCTGTCATAACATTCCCAGAGACACATTGTTATTAATTTTGTTCTGTTGTAAAAAAAGGGTAATTCTGGTTTGTGGTAAAAAAGGAAAATTCAAATTTTTGTTTGTGTTTAGAACAAACAAGGCTGCAATGACAGAACACTTTGTTCAACAGAAAATCTGAAACTTTCAAGTCTGTAGAAATCCATAAAAAATTAAAATAGACATTTCTTCCCTATTTCTTCTATTGTTTTTAAGTACAAAAAAAAATTAAGGAAAAGTGAAAAAAAGTGTAGAAATCCTTTTAAAAGAATTTTGTGAATATGCTTCAGTGGAAGAACCTTCTCCGTTACCTCCTGTAATTGTTTTATACCTCAAAATCTGCTAGCCTAGCACACTTACTTGGTTAGAGTGAGATATATAGATATATATAGAGATATTTACAGAGATATATACAGAGATATATATTTTCTTATAGTGAAGAAGAATTTAATGCTTTTTCCCTCCCCTGGTTGTTCTAGGGCTTTCAGCAGAAATTCTCCTTCCATAGTAAAGAGATTGTGGCCATCAGTTGTTCCTGGTGCAAGCTGGCGGTAAGTGGAAAACACTTCAGGAGACTGGGTTTAACTAGGTGTGATTGTGGGGGTTTTTTTTATTTGTTGGTTCGTGTTTTTTTTTTTTTTTTTTTTTTTTTTTTTTTGTCTTTTTATTTTAATTTTTTTTCCTAAGAAGACATGGCTTAGGAAGATAATCTTTAGCTACATGTCCTAAATCTCCATACACTGAAGAACTTGAAGATGATGGAGTTGGGAATATTGCTCCAGTTTTTGTACTGTCACTCTCTTCTTCTTCTCCAGGCTTCCCTTTTGTCTTTCTTGACTCTACTCTTTCTCTCTCTTCCAGTTTCATAACAAAGTCACCTGTTTCATGCTACATCACATTGAGGAGCCATGTTCCCTGGGGGCTCATGCTGCTGTCATTGTGCCTCCCACCTGGATCATTAAGGTGAAGAAACCTCAGGTAACTGCATGCTGTCTGTTTCTGAAGCTGTCTGGCTGTGCAGGGCCTGTCTGGCTGTGCAGGGCCAGCCTGGCTTCTCTGCTTGGTCCTCCTTCACCAATGCATGCTTGTTCACCCCTGCCTCTATCCCTGAAACCCAGCATACATCCATGGTGGCTATGAACCTGTATCCTCCTTCCCCTCCACCAAGTCCTTCAGTGAATTTCCCTGTTTGGGATGACCAGCAACAAACATGACTCGTTCTGAGCTAATTCAGCTCAGAGTTGTTCCTGTAACTGTGAGTTCAGCAAGCATACTGCAAGACATCCCCTGTGTGGTAGGCAGTCAAGCATGTTTCATTAAATAGAGCTGAGCAAATACAGGGAAAAACTTCACAAACATTCACTTGAACTGCATTAAGAATTGGCTGTGTCTGGACTGGCATCCCTCTGAATTTGCCTTTAATGGACATGCAAAGAATCAGAACTTACTTGCACCAGTGCTTGTTCAGTCAGCAGTAAACAAACCCACACGCTCATTGTTGCACATAACAGGCATTGGAATTCAAAGCTTTTGTGATGGATGTGGTAGGTCTTGGAGAGGGTAATTCACTGCTGAACACAACAGGGAAAAAAAGTATCCAAAAGAGAGGGCCAGAAATGAAAAAGGGGCTCACATCATGGTAGAATAATGTTTTCTTTGAAAGTCTGTTGTTATTCCAACTTGAGCTGAAAGAAACAAACACTGAACATATCAGGGAGTCAGAAATGCTGGTTAAATTTTTTATTTCAGAATAATATTCTTTATTTCAGCCCATCCTTGGGAAGTGACCTGGGCTTTTTGACTCTGCCTCCTGGCTGTCAAGAAGCTAAGAAGTTCAGGCTGTAGCCAAGGCACTAAGACAAAAGTAGTCCATGAAATCAGAAAAAGGCCTAAATTGTGACACTGCCTTTAGTTCTAGTTTAGGGATGTGACAGATTTGGGCATGAGTAGGAAGCTGGTTGTTAAAGACAAGGGGCAGAGGAAATACATGGATAGAGTTACCAAAAAATCAACAAAAGAAGCCTCTGTTTCTCCTTTAGGTCAAGAGAGAGCATTGCAATATTCCTAGCCACCTCCACTCTGAGAAAAAAAGGTTTTTTTGCCATTTTTAGATTTTCCCCACACTCTTTTCTCTGTTTTACTCAGTCTCCTCCAGAGAAATACTTTTTTCTCTTTTGTTGAGGAATGTTTGAGTCCTTGGCAGGGACTTAATATCCTTGGCTAATTTTTAGCAACTGTGTGGTATTTGACAGATGTATCCATGTTTGACCTTACTAAAAAAAGATTTTCTTCAAGTATTTAAATTTTTACTTTACTTAATTTTTATTAAAAAAGGAAAAAAAAAACCCCACCAAATAAAAAAAACCCAATAAACCCTGATGTGTAATTTTCTTTTGATTTGGCTTTTGCCCAAAGTAGGGTATATCTTCCTTATAATATTTATAGAGAATTTCCTTTCTTGTCCATTTTTTAAAAACTTTAAATTAAAAAATTAGTCTAATCTAGATAATTGTGATTTATGGAAAAAATATTTTTTAAATAAAGTCTTAAAATGTTAAGCCAAAAGAAAGTAGCTGTTAACTTTGTGTGCCTAAGTCATGAGCACAGAGAAAGTACTTGATTATTAACTTGCAATCACATCTCTAATCCTTGAAATTCATGGTCAGTAGCATGCAAAACCTTATCTTGAGTACCTGGAGCATTAAATAGATCAAAATTGTATTTAGCACAGACAATGGGTGCATTTCCATGAGGCTTCCTAATAACTCCTATTGGAGTTATAGGAAATGCATCCTTATTATTTTAGAATATAGTGATGCATCTTTTGGATGTGTTTTCAGATGTTTTGGCAGAAGTCTAGTTTTCTTATTTATTGTTTTCTTAGGAAATATTTTTCCTCCCCTGCTGTTTCTGGTCAGCTCTACTTCTATTATTATGATCCTCTTCACCCTATATCAATGTTTGGTGAACACTATGAATTATTCACATCACTTGATCCAGAGAGTACAAACACAATGTTTAGAAATTGTTGTAATTTCAATAAAAAAAAAAGAATGTGTAACCAACGCAATGTGTTTTTCACATTTTTCACAGTCAGAATAAATATGGCTAGAAGGTTTTTGGGTGTAAAATATTTCCTCAGCTCTAATTAACTACTTACATTGGTCACAGACAACTCCTGAACTGAATTCCCCATTCATATAAAATTGATTTTCGTGGTGCCTGCATCTTGTTTGTTTGTGGTTTCCTTGAAGTAAATAAGATGGCGTTTTGTAGCAAAACCTTGCTCTGTTTTACAATTTTTTATTTTTTGACTGCCACAAAAATGGTTTTCCATGCTTATTTTGTACAACAACCTTTCAAATATTAGGCTTGCATGAAGACCATACTCTGTCTCGTTACCAAAAATGCTGGGGTAGTGAAGAATCATGGTGTAATTGGTTAAGAACAAATTTATGCTGACATCTATGGTCTAAATGGGGAGCTTTTGCTTCTTATAAGCAACTGATTTAAAGATGAAGAATATTCAGAATGGTTCAACCATGGCAGCTCTGTGTGTAATGATCCCCCTACATGAATGGAAAACTCAAATACCTCTTCCATCTTATCTGTAATGTGAGCTACTTCTGTAACTTTTCTACTGATTTCCAGTATTTCTGTATTGTTGGCAGTGCTTTGATACCAGCTCTGTTTTCCTGGGGTTCAAAACAATTCCATCTCCTAGTTTGTGAAGCAGGTCACCCTTGTTGACTGGTGGTATTTCGTTATAGGTGAGGTTTGATAGGCGAAGTGATATTAGCTCTGGCAGTGAACTTGCTATATGCTTGTGTTGTGGGAGAAAAGTAGATGATAAGGAGGATCTGACTGATGGATTTACTGATTTAGTCTGTCTTCTGTTTGGGAAGACAAAGGCAGTAACTGTAAAATTCTAAGGTTTTTCTGTTCAAGGTGAGTAAATTAGTGTTTTCTTCTCCTCCGTTGAGGACTGTGAACTAGTTCTAGTGAATACTTACATTTCTGGGCTTATTTCCATATTTCCTCAATTGCTGAGTGCATCTGGCTTGTCTGACAGTTGTTTGGGAACAACCAGAAGATGGTCGAGATTGACCTTCCCAAATGCAAGTTTGTTGTTAGAGTAATTTGAAAATCAGTGTGCTAAAAGCCTTTGAAAACTGAGGATGAAATGTTGTAAAGGAAAAGGTTGAAAGGTTTCATAGGATTTGTCTGAGGTAGTTTATGGCCTTCACACCATCCCACACCATACAAGAAGGACTCCAATTACTCTCTTCATCTACCTAAGCTTTCTGAGAGCTATACTGACCATTCAATAATATGAAAAATCTCTTTTTGAAGATGGACAAACTGATATCCACAAAGGAGAGGTTTCCTCTCTAGAGGGAAGTTAGAATTTACTTATTGTGCCCATTTAAAGGTATGCTTTGCTATCAGATAGCTTGTTAAATAACAGTTTGTTTACAAACTTTCTGTGAACAAGGTATGACATATCCATTTCTTCACTTCAGTGTGCAAAGACTGCTGATACTCTTTGGGTGTTACTCTGCTGCATGTTTTCAGAAAACCCCTGCTTATGTCTAAGCAGCTTTCTGTGGTTCATCTGCTACGGACACGAGGTTGCAATTACCTCAGCAAAGCTTCAGGTTCTGTTAACACTATAGGTGTAGGCATGTTTGAAAAAAAAAAAAAAGAGGTGAAATAACATGGTAGAGATGCAGCATTTAGTGCCTTTTTAAGCATGGAAATGAAAACGGTTTTAACTGTGAATGGAGACTTAGCCTTAAACTGTTTCTTTAATATAGCTGTATGCCTTTTCCCACCCCACTGTTAGGTACATTATAGTGGGATTTAATGACAACTACATTTAAGCATTCTTTAAGTTATTCTTTTATAATTATTCAGGGTTTTACTGAGCTGTCTTTACCCTTGGCATGTGTGTGAGCTTTCAGCACACTGCTAACAAGAGTGTGCATAGACAAGATCTCCTCTCTGACCTGTGTTCAGAGAGAATCCTTCAGGGAATGCTTGAGGAATTGGGCTAAGGCCTCAATGGGAGACAGCTTTGAATGTAATGCCCCCATAACTTTCTGTTGGCATCAAGATTTTGCCTGCAGTCAATGTGACTACTGAGGTAGGGAAGCACAAGACGGTGTGGATGGGATTGCTGATGCACTTGGTAGTCAGTGCAGTCTTTATGGTTTATCATGCTTTCAAGATCACTTTGTATCAGCGTAGGGAAGACTGTGAACTTAAGAACACTTCTTTAGGTAGTTTCTCAAAATATGGCCTAAAAGGGCAAATTTCTGAAATCGGTCTATAGAGCCGTCTTGTCTTCAATATTTTCAGTAAGCAATAAGGCATGACAATTTAACTTCGGACCTTGTGCTCTATGGCAGGCTTCTCTTGGTCTGTGTGATAGAGGGCAATGCCTTTAGGTATTTCAGTTAGATAGCTGTTAGTTTTTCTTCTCAGGGATGCTGAGCGTTAACTTGTGCATCTGGCATGTCATACTCAAGTCTTGAAATTCTAAAAGTGGTTGATGTGTATTAAACAAAACTTAGTAGCTATTCCTGTTAATGTTGGATGGTGAGCAGGATTAAAACTAAACATCACTTTTTACAGATTTGATGATCTCTGCTTGTTTAGTGGTACACATCTGATCAAGGTCAGGAAAGAAAAGAACTTTCAGATGAGCTGAGTGAATCTTGCTTTCCCTCTTATATCCAGGAAAAAAAAAAAAATCAATGAACTTTGTTCTAATTCCTCATGCTACTTTATTTCCTGGTGATGGTTAGGCTAGAAGTTGAAATACTGCAAAAATATTTGGAGTATTTCCCATAAGATAAAATTTCAATTATGGAAATGGTTAGGATTTCCTGCAGGTGTAACTTCAATTAGTGAATTAAAATAAATTAAAAAAAAAAAACCCAAATTTCCCCTTTTTACTGTTCTTATCACACCAGAACACCTTTTTGTTCCACGTCATAGAGCAGACTGTCATCTGCCTGGAGAATAGCCTTAACGTAAGTTCTACTTTAATAGGTTCTGCAGAAATACAAGCACTTGTACATTTTCCTACGTAGTTAAGTGATATTATTATTTAAAAACAAACAAAAAAAATCAGCAAACAAACACCTTCTCCACTTAAATCCTTAAAAATCAGCAATTCAGTTTGTTCCTTAGCAGATGATTGCACAAGTTTCTTGATAGGCTGGAAATGACTCTATGGTGCCAGCATCATATGCCATGGTGGCCTACGTTATGTTGAGTCATAATGGTTGCCAGAGCTAAAACTTTTTGTTTTCTTTCCTTAAAAAAAAAAAAAAAAAGAAAAGCAAACAAAAAAACATGAAAAATATCTTATTTATCATGTTTTTTTATTACATCTTTATGCAGGTGGTCTCCATACCAGGAGACGAGCCTGATTGGGCAGGAGACTGGAGCCCCGAAGGGGAAACGGGCGTCTCCTACCCCTTTTGGGAGGGTTGGCAGGTACAACATGTGGTGTTATGTGAGTCTATGGGAGCATCTGATCTTTTTTCCCCCCTCACAGCGTGGGAAAGTTTCTGGTTCCAAAGCACCAGTCTGGTCTCCGTGTGTGGCTTTGTCCATAAACGGTGGTGTGGAAGTGTAAAGCATGCAGCGCATGTAATTTAAATCTCGAGCATGTGCCAGATACTCTTATCATTCTCCAAGTGGACATGCATGGAAGAGCTTCGTAAAGGGGATCTGTCTTTGCCTGTCTTCTAAATTTTGTTTTGCTTTTCATGTATTCTTTTTCCTTTCGATGTAGAACTCCTTAAAGACTTCAACAAGACGAAAGAAGAGAACATCCTTTAAAAGAAAAGCCAGCAAAAGAGGAAATGAAGTAGGTATTCAAGTGCTTTGGAAATCATGCTCCATTTGTTTAAATGTCTAAACACAGACTTAAAAGTTTTTTGGGCTTTTTTTCCCTTTATTTCACTGGAATGTTTAATGCATTTTTCCCCTGGGAAATTCCATGATATTGAGTTTGTTGTTAGAAGAGATAAAACTCATATGAAAAGTTTTATTTTCTGAGTTGATTTTTCTCAAGAAACGATGTACCATACTCCAGAAGGACCAGCACCCTAAAGAAAGTGTGTTCCCTTTGGATGTAAGAGATTTAGCTCACGCCTTTTTTTTCCACTAAGGAGAACAGGGATGTGAAACTGGGGTTGTGAAACCCATGGTAAGTGCACTGATGCAAGGCTGTGGTCTGGATGTGATCCGTTTTTGTATGTCTTCTTCAGGGGATCTCATATTAAAATTGGACCACAGAGAGAGACAGCAGTTTATTGATCTATTGGTGTATTTACTATGTGCCTATAGAAGAACTTGCTTCCATGTCCTTCCTAGTGGATTAATTATCTAGACAAGCAGTCTCATGAGAGAGGTGGAGGGAGACTCACCCCTGCATAGACAGGGCTCTCTGGTTCAAGTTCTTTCTTGCATGGTGGGAGAACTGCAGACCAGAAACTGGAATCTGTGTCTGTGAAAGCCCAGGACAGTGCCCTCATTACTGGGTTCTGGGGTGTCCTGCAGGGGCTAAGGAGTAGGGAGGCAAATAATTTTCCCAAGGATGTTGGATCTGTGGCATTTGTTTAGAGGTGGGAAGGTGGTAAGGCCAAGAATTTGAGAGCAGATTATCTGCAAATAAGTGCTTATGCAACTTGTCTGTTAGATGGAATTAATGGAAAAAGTAACTTATCTCATTCTATTTTACTTTGGAAAAACTGTTAGTATTAGAAATAACACTGTCTCTGACACATTATTAGTGTTGTGTGAATAATTGTGGGGAATAGGGTCAGAAATAACCTCAAAAGAATTTTGAAATAATTGTAAGCTACCCTGAAATTATATTTCCCCCCTCTTACTTTATTCTGTTGTCTCAGCTGGATAAATTGCTCTCAACTGGGCACCACATTGACATGGCTGTGCTATTTCCAGTACCTGAGGTAGTTTTGTCAGAGCTAGGTTGGGTCTTCTGTGTGTTCTATGACAAAGAAACTTACATCCCTTGCATTGAAGCTGTTTATTCTTCTGTTTCTCAGGATAACAAAGGCCGGCCTTTTGTGATAAAACCTATCTCCTCTCCTCTCATGAAACCACTGCTGGTTTTTGTCAATCCAAAAAGTGGAGGGAATCAGGTAAGAGTATCAGCTGGGTCTGGATTGTGAAGTTTAAGTTTAACAGCAGGGTTTCTGCAAATGACTCTATTTCTTGGCCAGTCAGATAGAAAGGACTCTATGCCTGAAGAAACCTGAAGACCTTCCTTAGAAGAGGTCCTTGCTGTGGAATGGCCTTTCTACTTCAGTAGAGTTGGATGACTGGAATGGATATTTGAGTACTTGAGTGGTTGTACTCCTATCTTCAGGTTCTTGAAAGGAATCTAAAATGATACTTTGGAATTTTTCAGAAGATTTCATCTTTTCACAAAGAATTTAGGTTTCCAGTGAAGATTTTAGACTTTATCCAAAAAGTGGTTTAGCTTTGCTAGGAAAGGGTTGTTGAAATTTCTCAATGAGAAATGACATATCCCTATGGCATCTAAAAAAATCATCAGTGGTCTTGTACTGTACCACAGAGACCAAGTTGCAGTGGCTAAAATGCAGCAGATTTCTTACTTAGGATTCTTGGAATTAATGAATACTTACCCAAGTGAATATTTTCCCGGTTCTGCCACTTTTTGAATATCAAATAATTGGAGTGCCTTTCAATAAATAGGGCCTTGTAATAGGAAAGACTGGTGTAAGATACAATAGAGGCCTATAGAGCATGGAGAGTAGTATAGGCACTGCTCATTTTCTCCTCTGTTAGAATTACAGAGGATATAAAATGAAACTGTTTAGACTGATTCAAACAAAAGGAAAAAGCTGGTTCTTCTCTCAGTTTGCAGTTCAGTGAAAAACTCCTTGAATTAGGATTTGGTGGATGCTAAACACATCTGGAGGAGATATTACACAGGCTGGAGCAGATATTTGGAAGTGAAAAACCGTGATGTCCTGTACCTCCCTCTGGTTCAAGAGTTCTTTGAACTGCACATAACTGAGACTGGAAGAATATCTATGGCACACATCACATTTATTTTCTGTCTTCTTATACCTTTTCCTAGGTACTATGACTGCTATTCTTGGTTCGTCAGGGAAGGTGTCAGGCAGAAGAGCCATCCCTAGGAAGGGAGATCTATGGAAAATTCCTGATGTGTACCCTCAGGCCATGTCTGAAAGGCATTCTTGAATTAGAGTGCAAGCTCAGCCCATAGAGTTCTTAGCTCTCTGCTACTAATAAGAGATCCTGTTACTTTGTGTCTGGGCAGAACGTTGAAGGAAGGGATTTGAGTGGCAATATGAACCTCAGAGTTTGAGAAAACAGAAATTATACCTTTAGGTGGTGGGCTGGCCACACTACATAAAGTGAGGGAACATTGAGGCAGTTGTACCCCACAAAGTCCTTGACTCCTGCTTCATTAGATGGTAGAGGTTACAATGATGAATGATCATTGTGGTGATAGTGGAGGCCACTGTCATTGCTTGGGCATTGAGCAGCACACTGTTCAGTGCTGGAGATGGTGGAGACTTTGGCTACAACTTTGTTCAACTTCTTGCTGTCATGGATAGCTGAGGGTGAGGTGGGATAACTGAGGTTTCTTCTTGTTGCAGGTGATGAGAGGCAGAAGAACAGGTTGCTGTGGGAGATGAGCCCACAGTTGGTCTGACCCCAACTGCCTGTTCTTACAGACCATTAGTGATCTGTGTGGTTGAAATTGGTCTATATGCCTGCATGCGCACCTCGTCCTGGATTGCTATTCTAGAGCAGTCATTTGCTATGCCACTTTCTAGTTTGTCTTCTTGTTTTGTGTTGGCTTTATAAAGGACAGAAAGAAAGAAAAGCGGTTGAGATACAGCGAATAATGCACACTATTTCCAATAATCTTTAAACTGCTCATAACTTCCCTTCCTTTCATTTTTCTCTCTTGCCAGGGCACCAAGGTTCTCCAAATGTTTATGTGGTATTTGAATCCACGCCAGGTCTTTGATCTCTCTCAGGAAGGGCCAAGAGATGCGTAAGTAGTGGAGCCTTCATTGCTGTGCAGCCTATTTCTGGTCTGGTCAGGAAAACAGGAAAAGATCCAGCCTGGCTGGATTAGTGACTGTATGAGGTTTACATATCCAGGTTATGGTAGCAAGGGGAAGAGCTGCAGTGGGGGCTTTTGTGAGAAGAGGTCAGGAGCTGTCCCTCTGTCCAGACAGAGGCAGGTCCAGATGGCTCCAAGGCTCACTGAGGATCCCAATGCCTACCATTCCCTAATGAATGAGAATACCAGTGGGGTGAGGCTGCCTCCAGACTGCCACACAACAGCACTGTGCAACTGTCCCTGCTCACTGACTGACTAACTCAGCTTAGCCAGACAGTACTGAAGAGCAAACCTCTTCCAAGGGAGAGAGTATCTCTCTTTAAAGGGCTGATTTTTGCTGCCAAGGGCTGAGAAACCATCCTTCTGTGGTACTTGACATGGGGATACTGGCTTTTCTTAACCATCTGTTCAGAACTGCTTTCACATTTTGTAAATATGTTTTGTATGTTTTTGTAAATATTATTGTTATAAATATTTTATAGTAATAATGCAAAATCAAATATTTGCCTGTAGAAGAGCAGTCCAAGTGTTTCCTATTCAAGGCACCCAAGCTTTTTATTTGCCTGTGGAAGCACCTGCACTGCTGTTCTCTTATGATGTTTAGAAGCTTTAAGTTAAACATACATTTTTCAGAGCTGTATAATGGGGAAAAGGAGGGTTAGTTCCTCTAGTCACTCAGCTCTCTACATGTGAATGTCCCCACCTTCATTAGCAAATATTTCATGATGATGTTGTATGAAGGGTGCAACTGAAGGAGCAGGACTTCAAAGGGTGCTTTTTTTGAACTCTCCTGTTGATATTTAGATCACATATCCAGAGAAAGAACTCTATTACATATTCTTGCCTTCTGTGGTGTTAAAATACAGTCACTAGTTGAAGAAGCTGTCACATTATACAAGACTCAGAAATGGTAGCTCAAAAAGTCAAGATGAAGAACACTAAATATTGTTTTAAAACCTCAGTTTAAATTTGTTTACTTTAGGGTAAGAGAAAAATGAAAGATTTTGACCTCCCTAGAGGGGAATATGAAAATCTGAGAAGATGCTAAACTGATCAAACACTTGCCTAACATGGAGGAAGGCCTCATTTCACATCCTAGTGGTTTCTCATTTCTACCTCTACTCATATTTTTAGTAATGAATATTTGAAAATGCTATAAGTGGTAGTTACACTGTCACTCAGCAAAATGCATTAAAAATGTCTACATTACTGTTCTTACATTTTTCTCCTTTTTTCCCCCTTTTCCTCCCTGGGTAGGCTGGAGCTGTACAGAAAAGTGCCGAACCTGCGGATCCTGGCATGTGGTGGGGATGGGACGGTAGGTGGCAGGGACATGGTAGTGCCATGGTCTTTGGCCCAATGATTAAACTCCTCACAATGGTGGGTTTCCCACCTCACCCTGCCTGCAGAGGCACAGAGAGACAACATATCTTACACTTGTGAAAGCTAATATTTGTTTTTCAATTTTCTGTGTGGTCTGGCCTGTGAAGATATGAGGCCAGATGCTCATGTTCAAAACCTTCTTTCCTTTATGCATAAAGATTTTGTACAGGTTAAAAGGAATAAACACTAACTTTGCTGGTCTCCTCTCACTATATGCATTCGATCTGAGGGTTAACTTAGTGTCTGGCAGCCATTATGTCTTAGTTTCTGCTCCCTCCTGCTAGACCCTGGCAGATCCATGTTCAGTACTTTTCTTTACAACACAATTTCTGTGCTCCTGGATAAGTGAATGGGGTCAGGTCTTAAAAGGATTTGTGCACCTTCATTTGGAGAAAAACTCTGCAGCTCATGGTCTGAAGGTCATGAGTGGTAATGGAGTTATTATAATGGCATTCTCTTTCCAGTACTTCAAAATATTTTAAATCCCAGTCTGTGCCACTGAGTGCTAATACAGTTGAAAAATTGACCTTTAATCTCTAGGGGCTCAGTTCCTCAACATGCATTTGATGGCAATTTTAGCAGTAAGTAGGGTAATGAAAATGCATTACTACTCACAAGATGCAGTGACTGGACAGAACATATCTATGTAGATCTTTAGGGCATGGAGAGGTGGTTGTTTTATTTTGTAGAGAGCTTAATCCCCTCACAAAATTCACTTCAGCTTGAACTTCTGGGGGAATTTTCCCAGCTTTTTTGGGTTCTTTTAAAACCCCAGGGGTAGGGATATTAATATCAATGTTTCCCCGGCAAGAATGAAGAAAAAGAATGAAGGCAGACCACTCCCTTGCTGGTATATGTGAAAGCAAGAAATGACTGTTACTGAATGATGAACTTAAGAAACATGAAAGGCAGTCCTTTAGCTGGAGGCATCAGCTGAGAAGAAGTATTTCCATCTGTTTCTTTTCCATCTGAGGAAGGGGGGGAAAAAGATTATTATTAAGATATTAAAAGAGAAAAGAATACAGCTACGTTGAGTTGGACCATCCTATTTCCCTCTGCTGAACTGTGCGAGAGGTGGCAGCACCTTCTCATTAGTATGAGCAGCACTCCACTTCTACCTCTGCTGCTACTCAGTTTGAAACAAATTAATTTCTAGTTATTCCCAAAGCCATTACATCTAGAAATGAAAAATCTGGCTCAAATGGACTTAATGAATATGCAATGAGACCAGATGTTACCTCTCATTACTGAGGTGAATCAGAACTTTATAGTAACTTTTCTATTGTCACTTCAGGGCAGAAGTGGAAAGCTTTGCTTTCAAAGGAGTCAGGAGCTTTCTGTTTACAGGGAAATGGTAGTATGTGTCATCTGGATTGTGCAACTAATGTACAAGGTTTAGAAGTGACCTCAAGTTAAATAGCAATGTAGTGCTTATAAATTGAAATTTGTTCATCAGTGAAAAGCATTTACAAAAGTGGTAGGTATTTTGATGTTTCCGGTATCAGTGGGAGGCTGAAGCACAGATGTGTGGATTAAGTCAGTGGTAATGACAATGACCAACTTCTTTAAGAAGTCCTGGCCCTACTGATGTTATCTTGACTTTTTATTCTGTCTCCTGTTATCAATGCAGAAGTATAGATATTTTGAAAAAGAGAGGATTATTTACCTCTGAAAATCCCTTTAAAGACCTCAGTATTTTTGGTGACATCCAAGGTCATGAGAGCTGTAAGTACTTGAAATGGCTGTTGTCAGACAATGAACTCAAGTAGGGGATTGCATCCCAGATGAATGCTTTAATAATTGGACAATTGGTTATGATAAATAGCTGTCTGATAAATGTCATTTGTGCAAAATTAAATTTATTTTGAAGAGACTTGGAGAGAGAAATACCCTAGAATACTAAATAGCATGGTGGTTTCTCTATTTATCAGACCACCTCCTCTGCAGTTCTTCAAACTCCAGCTATTTTTCCTGATAGCCATGTTTTGCTGGGTGCCTTTTGTGAAGCTACCCTGGTTTGGATTGAGAATATCTTTGAAATCACAGTAATATTATTGGAGCAAGAAAAATTCAATCCAGCTGTAGTCAGGATTTAGGTTTTCTGTCCTATTTAAAAGCTCACATTTGCAGTAGAAACTGTATCTTTGAAAGCCGGCAACAGGAAAAAAAAATCTTCTGTTAATTTTTATTAATTCTTTATCTAAAAATGCAGCACTCACATTTGCAGTAGAAACTGTACTGCATCTTTGAAAGCCGGCAACAGGAAAAAAAAATCTTCTGTTAATTTTTATTAATTCTTTATCTAAAAATGCAGCACAGGTTCTTCACTTTTTTTTTCAAAGTGACAAATAGTTTAAGGAAGGGTCCTTTGTTTTTGCAGCAAGAATTTCAGTCACCCAAAGTTTGATAACATCTTTAGCAACAATTCTTTCTTCCCTTTGAAAATTACCATTTAATGAAAACAAAATAATTTACAGTAATTTGTTCCTTCTGGCTAGACTTCTATTTGAAAGCTTTATGTAGTCCAGAAGAAAGATAGAATAAATAGCTGTCTGAAATAACTAATAGCTTAGGATAGAAAAGAGACAGATTCACTGCTCCAATCCAAAGTCTCCAACCCTGAGCTGTAGTCTGCCTTTCAGTCTAGTCTTTTATTATTTTATTAGGTGCGTATGTGTGTATATGTGTGTATATCTGTATATTGTATAAATATATATAGATATGATGCCTTGTACTGAGTGAAATAATTCAGCACAAAGGTCTCTTCTATGGGAGAGGGAGACTTGTGAACAAGTTCATGCTTGGCAGTTCTGAGACACCATGCTGTTTTAATGTGTCTCTCATTTTCTTTCATAGCTGTTTGTCAAAGGTTGAGTTTCTTTTGACATAACAGCAATTAAAAAAAAATTACCTTGAATTGTCCATATTATTCTTCATTCATTTTTAGATTTCTTTTACTTGATCTTCTCTGTAAAAAAGAATATGATATGATCAAAATATGTGTTTTCCCTATAATATTCCTAAAGGTTCTCCTAATTTTTCTTTTTATAGGTGGGCTGGATCCTGTCCATCCTTGATGAGCTGCAACTCAGCCCCCCACCTCCTGTGGCTGTCCTTCCACTTGGCACTGGGAATGACCTTGCCCGCACCCTCAACTGGGGTGGGGTAAGGACTGGCTGGGGTACCTTTATGTGGGGGTTCTCAACTTGCTGCTCAGATTTAGTTGTGTGGGGTGGATTTTCCTTTTGGCTAAAATAGTTGGCAGGGCTGTGTCCAAGATCAGTTTCACTCTGGCAGAACGGTTTGCTTTAATCTGCAGTCTGGGATTTTGAATTACTAATGTTGTTGTTGAAATAAAAATGTACGTAGATGTATCTGGTATTTCAGGCCAAGTAACAAGAACAATAAACAGGCTTCTAATTTGAGCATAATTTAAAGTTTCTCTTTGTTTATCCTTTACTACAGCTCTGGGCTTATTCCAGGAAAGGCAGATATTTGAATTCCTCTCCTTATGGCCTTTGCCTGCAGTAGACTTGTGCACCTCAATAGCTTATTAAAATGCTTGATCAAAAATTTATTGAGGGTTTTAGGCATGTGTGAAAGGAGGGAAGTCTGTACGTAATTGGTAACTTGATTTCTTTTCATTATCCATGGCTGACACTCTGGTCACTCTGGTGTCAGGGTTACACAGATGAGCCAGTGTCTAAGATCCTGTGCCATGTAGAAGATGGAACCATTGTCCAGCTGGACCGTTGGAATCTCCAGGTTGAGCGCAACCCTGATTTGCCCCAGGATGAGCTGGAGGACGGGGCACGTAAGGTTGGAGCCTGCTTTTTCCCATGGAAACTACAGAATGCTTATGAACCACTTTGGGTTACACTTTAAGCAGCATGGGTGGGGAGTCCTGCAACTTTTAAATTTTCTATTTGCATCTCTCCCTTTGATTCTTTTCATGTGTCAGTGATTCCAGAGTTGTGTGAAAGGCATTTATTTGTTGTTTGAAACACCTTTGCATTGAACATTTATGTCAAAGATTAAATCCTGGAAAAAAATCCATAGCATTTTATCAGAAAGGTCATTGTTGCTTTTCTCTAGTTGCAGGAAAACTGCCATCCATTCCCCAATTAGACAGGCATTGAACATTTATGTAAAAGATTAAATCCTGGAAAAAAAATCCCTAGCGTTTTATCAGAAAGGTCATTGTTGCTTTTCTCTAGTTGCAGGAAAACTGCCATCCATTCCCCAATTAGACAAAACTAAAAACTGGATGCAAAATTTAATTCCTTAGGATTTTGCTAATGGATACCAGCTGTTTCCTACTTTACAGTAAGGTGTGGGGTATTTTTGTACTTAACTTCTTTCTGTGTGGGTCTCCATGTAATCTCCACTAGTGTATCTTGGTAGTTGAAGTATGGGAAACTTTTTGCAAGGAAATTGCATGGTAATTTATCATTTGGACTGGAGATGTTGAAAATACTACAAAACTAAAAAAACTTCCCGATTCTGTGAATAATTTTCTTCTTCTCAGTGATAATTTCCAGTTTATCTATTGGGTGCTACAGTTGCCTCTCTACAGCCCTGAGTAATTTATCATTTGGACTGGAGATGCTGAAAATACTACAAAACTAAAAAAAACTTCCCGATTCTGTGAATCATTTTCTTCTTCTCAGTGATAATTTCCAGCTTATCTATTGGATGCTACAGTTGCCTCTCTACAGCCCTGCTCGGTGTGTGAAACAATGAAGAGGCCAGATGTGTGCCTGCCTGCCTCATGCATCCTCAACAGGATTAGGGCTTTTTCTCTGGGACTTGGCTTCCTCCTGGTTATATATGGAGTGAGAAGAGCACATCTGGAGCTTCATTTGCCATGCTGAGCTTGAAGAGCTAGCAAAACCTTTGAAAACCTTTGTGTTGGTGATATGTTAAGTGGTGCAGCCTTATGGGAAATCTAAATGACAACATAAGGAACCTTTGATGTGTTAACAAAGGCACACATATGATCATAAAGCACTGTAGGTCTCTTCGTGTTCTTTGGGCTCTTGTATCCAATCATTTTCCACAAGCCATTACCAACCCACAGAGCAACCTTCTGCTTACATATCCCTGATATGTTCCACTTTGTTCTTAGTAGGTTTCCAGGATGAGCCAAGTTTAAATAGTTAAACCCTGGTGTGTTGAGAAATGTTCCATTCATATTGTTTTAATGTCTCTGTATCATCTAATTACAGCTTCCCCTAAATGTCTTCAATAATTACTTCAGTCTTGGATTTGATGCACATGTTACGCTGGAGTTCCATGAATCCAGAGGTAATAAGAACTTTTTATTTCCTTAGTCTTGTGGATAGGCAGTCATTTTATTAATTAGAAATAGAGTTAGATTTAACATCTGTTCTTATAATTCAGAAGTAAAGTTGGAACATAAAACCTTAAGATACATACAAGAAGAAAAATGATTGTGTTGTGAGTTTCCAAGGGACTTCATGATTAAGAAATTAAAAAAGTACTAAGAAGACTGTAATATACTGCAGGAAAAAGGCTGAGAGGGAAGCTTTACAAAGTGTTAGATCTTGTAAAGGAGATAATATATGTCAGGTGTGAGTGTGGAAGTGGAGGGAAGAGAAGAGCCACAAGACTGGAAGTGGCAGGAATATAATTGTGTTATCGAACTGAACAGCTGTTACCTATGGATCAGTATACCATACCCTGGCCTTGGTACAGACACAGAATTCTCTATGCAAGTTAAAGGGTTTAATGCCCACAGAAGTGTCAGGAATTTGAGCAGTTGTAGCACTTTGTCTGTCTCCTTGCCAGTGGCAGTTATGCCACCCTGAACAGACTGACATGTGGCTTAAGGACTGATAGCTACAGCTTTGAACTGATATGAACAGCTCTACTTATAAGGTTTAGGCAGGTGTGCTTGTAGAAACAAACTTTGCTCAAGTGTCTGCCTTCAGCTTTTGGTCATTACAGCTTCCTATGCAGGTATTTTTTTCTGAAACACAGTCTTCCTCATAGTCACTGTCATACTATCAGAGTGTCATTTCAAGATGAAAAGATAGCACTCTAATGCCAGACTAAATAAAGAGCAGGATACATGATGGAATGAGCTAATGCATATTTTATGATGTTTAAGACTGCTTCAGGCTTTAGGAATAATAATGAGGGGCCACAAAAGGGCACAGGCATGAAATTATGACAGCTGTATGAATTTTTCTATGAGTGCATGTCACTTTGCATTGCTAATGTGACTGTGAATATACTGTATAGATTAAATGCATGGCTACTTTCTCATTTAATGGAGGCATTATTTAATAATGAAGTCATGGAGCCCTATAAAGGATGAATGTTATTCCAGACATGCCAGGGTTTTAAAAATTTACATGGGTGAAAAAGCACTTGGCAGAGCAAGCTGTGTGTCTGAGTATGTATGGCCAAGAGAGCTTCTATAGCACAAGTCTTCGCTGCTGGTGTCATCCTTGTCTTCTCAAATGCTAAAATATATGAAGTGAATTCTATGTATTTTAGAAGAAGAAATCTTATAGGAAAGCCTTGAAGGTGTTGCTGGTGTGTGGGTTGTATTGTTTTTCATGTGGAGTTGGGGTTGTTCTGCCTAGAGAAGAAAAGGTTCCTGGGAGCACTTATTATAGCCTTTCAGTACTTTATAAGTACTGAAGGGGATTTATAAGAAAAATGGGTCCTGTTTCAATAGGACAACGGATAATGGCTCTAAGCAAAAATACTGTAAATTTGGATTAGATATAAGGAAGTAGTTTTTAACAACGAGGGTGGTAAAACACTGGCACAGGTTGCCCAGAGAAGTGGTGGGTGCCCCATCCCTGGAAACATTCGAAGCTGGATTGAATGAGGCTCTGAGCAACCTGATCTGTGAAGATCAGGTGAAGATGTCCCTGCCCATTGCAGGGAGTTGGACTAGATGGGCTTTAAAGGCTCCTTCCAGCCCAAGGGATGCAGTGGCTTGGCAAATTAAGCAATGCAAAGCAGATTATGATTTTATATACCACAGATTATAATCCAGAGAAATTCTTAGCAATGGTAGCCAAGTGTTAAGTACTTTCACAGCTATAGCATTTGTGCTCTTGAGGTAATTGGTTGCATACATTTGCTTATTTGCAACTATTGTAATTGCATCTAGTATTTAAAAAAATAATATCATGCCTGAAAACCAAAATAAGATAAATTGATATGAGCTCTCAGCCAATGGGACACTTTAAGCAGTAGATATTGGTCAGGTGTTATATTTAGAATAAGCAGTGATTTCAGTGTCTCAGAGGAACCTATATATTAATGTGGCCTTTTCCATGGCAACCTCTACACTTTTCTTGTGACTAATCAGATTGAGACTTGAGGGTTGGATCCAAGTCTGATGCATTTATCTTTGCTTTTTTGGGAAGTGTTCTGGGCACTGTCTCTTTCCAACTTCCTCCATTGTTATCCCTATGCTTTGGTAGAGCATGGAAGATGCAATTTACTTTATCCCTGCTGACATGCTGTTTGATCTCTCAGCTGTGCAGGACTGTTCATCTGCAGGAAACTTCCCCACTGCACACAGACAGAGTATAACACATTCCATTTTTCTGTTTCTGAGATGGTTTAGGAATGGTGAGGGTGGAGTGAGCCTTGGATATGCACTCAATAATTTACTTCTTCTAATCAACTTAAGGCTCTATTTTACATCACAGAATCCTTCCTCCCTACCCGTGCTCGTCTATGTTGGCAGAAGTAGGACCAGTAGGTAGAGGGACTGCTGAGTCCCTGACATCAGAAAGGTTCCTTTTCCTGTTCTAAACTGGGTCTGTAGTTAGGGGGAGTATTTGTCATAAGATCCATGTAAGGTCCTGTGCTGGGGTGCCTGCTGTCTGGAGCCGTTGGGGATACTCACATGAGAGAATGTGCAGCACAGGCACTAAGCCTCCAGAAGCCTTCTGCTGCTTAGCATGAGGTGTTGAGACTCTCTGCAAAGAGCTGTGAGCTCAATAAGTGAGATGAGATTGACTTATGCAGTTAAATTCATTTTTTGAAGTAGAAGTTGCCCTGACTGATTTTGAGTCACCTGTGACACAGCAACAGACAGAGTAACTGAGCCAACAAGCAAATCAGAAACCTCAAGCAGCTCATTCTTGCAAAATGGAGCTGAATTTTGTGAAATGTAGTGGCTTTCGAGACCTGGAAGTATTGTTTTAAGTGGTCATTTGAGAGGTAATTTGGATGTGTCCACACTAATTAGATGCTTTAACCAGAACGACTGCCGTGGTAGTTTGATGTTTTCACTAGAGAATCAATGAGCCAGGGTGAGTAGTTGGCACTAACACTGAACACAGGGTAAGAAAAGCTGCTTCTGGAATGTCTAGATGCCACAAACAAGGAAAGCAATTTCCAAGGAGGCTCAAGAATGAACTGTATTCTGGGAAATGTGCCTTATATTGGGAGATAAAGGGAACTCCATTTAGCTTATCTGAAAGAAGGTTAAGAGGCTATTTAATCACTGCCTATAAGTATTTACTCGAGGAGAAGATATTTGATAGTTGAAGGCTCTTTAATCTGACAGGGAAGTATAACAAGATTTAGCAGCTGGCAGCTGAAGACTGAAAATTTCAAGATTGGAAACCACCACATTTACATTAACAGTGAGAATAATTAACCATTAGAGGTACATTACTACTAGACTTAAAATTCTCCATCTCTTGGAGTCTAATCAAAATGAAACGGGTTTCTAAATAGGTTTTAGAGTAACCAATTCTCTTTTTCCTTTTTTTTAAAATTATTTTTCTGCAGAAATCTTTGGGTAAAAATGCCTATTCCTTAGTAACTCTTTAACACATCAGAATTTAGGGGCTATTTAATATTGTAATTTACTAATGGTTTACTCCTGGTTCAAAACATGGGTTATTGTTTCATGAATTTCTGATAATTCTTACACATTTGTTCTCCATTGTTAGAAACAGAAGTTTTAAAATTCTATTCTATCATAAGATGAATAGTCTGAGAGGTGTTAAATTAACTGATTAAATTCTTGTTACCTCTTTGCTCTATTTCCAATCTCTACAAGAAAAGGGAAGGATTCAATATCAGTGTTTGAAATCTGATAGTAGAGAAAGGCACAGATGGGGGACTCACACAGAAAACATATTTATGGTAATATTTTCTATGAGTGATACACTGAAAGCACTGTAGTGCTGGCAAGGAATGTGAAGGTATAATGAAGTCTACTTGTTTTATTAGGGTGTTCATACTTTTATTTTTCATCCTTTCACAGAAGCAAATCCAGAGAAATTCAACAGCCGATTTAGAAATAAAATGTTTTATGCTGGGGTAAGTAGGGATTTGTCTTACAGAATGATGTTAACTTAGTTGCTTGAATGTCTTCTTAATTACCTTCCCCCTCACTTTCTCACATCAGGAGCTCATGCCCGTTTATTCTGCCTGTTACAATTTCAAGCGCACTCATGCTGTTTCTGGCAGTGCCACACACAGGTGTCTGTAGAAAAGAGCCTGTGGTACTCTTATTATGCAGAGCTGGGCAGGTGAGAAAAGTGCCACTCCTTTGGACACAGTCCTGGTCATATCTTGGTCCCTCTGCTTCTGGCTCATAAGTTTCTCAAGGCACTGCTCTGCTTCTTTCAGGGCTTCAGAACTGCACTGATACTGACTTTCTTAGAGAAATTCCCAACTTTTTGGCCTTCATCTTTGTAGCTTTGAGGAGCAGTCTTGGTTGTAGGGTGGTGGTGAGTGCAGGGCACAAATCAGATATTTGGAGTGATTAATGGCAGGTGAATATGCACATATAATTACCCATATAATGCCTCCTGTGCATTCAGGAGGCAAATGGACAACACTTCATTCTAAAGCCATTAAGAGTAAACACTAGTTTGATAATGAATGACATATAATGTATTTCTAGATGAAAACACCCATGCGCCTTAAATATGGAAACAAGTTTATAAGCAAGAATTTGTGCTTAATGGCTCAGGATACCATTGAACTTGGGGGTCCAAGGACTTTTTTTCAATTAAGCTCCCAAAAGCAGAAGTATCACGATTTAAAACAATAAAATCAAATCATGTCTTCTGAGAGAGTAAGTTTGACCAAAGGAGGGCATTTTGGTAATTAGCTCTGTGGAGGGATAAGAACTGAGGAAAAAGAAAGAGTGGAAGTGCTGACAATTCCTGCACTGATTTCTGTTGCAGGCAGCCTTTACAGACTTTCTGCAAAGAAGCTCAAGAGATTTATCCAAACATGTTAAAGTTGTGGTGAGTATAAGAAATTGTGTCATAATATTGTGGAAAGGGGGTGGATGTGGAGGTTTGGAGAGAGAGTGAGGTGAGAGTTTAATGGCTCTGTTACTTTTCAGTTTTGAGCATGACATTTGCAACACATTCCAAGGAAAGTCTTGGGAAAGTTGTTACAAAGCAGCAACACTTCTCTTGTCTGTGGCTCCATTCAGCAATTTCTCTGTGCTCTGTCACTTTGGCTTTGTAGTGTGATGGCACAGACCTGACTCCAAAGATCCAGGAGCTGAAGTTCCAGTGTATAGTGTTTTTAAACATACCCAGGTAAGCTCAAGACACATTCTTGAAGTTATGCAAGAAAAATAACAGTAGTTTTCAAAAGACACCTAACAGTTTTCCTAGGCTGGGTGAATGTACAGGAAGCATTTTCTCACCTCACTGAGAGCTGGCTCCTTATAATGCTGTTAATGAGCTATGCAGAATGGCATCAGAGTTCGGGGTGCAGCAAAACCATTCCTTAGAAAGTTGAATATCCTGATACAATAGAAATGCTTAACAAACACACTTTGAAAAGCTGTGCATCTAACCTGCAAATAAGTTATTAAAGGGACAGATATCTGGTCTTGTGCTTAATTAGAGTCCAAGTGTGGAAAAAATGGAAAGGGGGAGGAGGGGGCAGAAATGGAGAGAGGGGAAGGATAAATATTTTAGCAGTTAAGGAATATCAAACTGCTGAAAGAAGTCAGTTTTTAACATGTTACAAGGTGTCCTTAATAAAAATAAAGCTGAGTTATCAAAAGTTGTTGGTATCCTGTTCTCTAGAACAGTAGTCTCCAAACTTAATTTGATTGTGCATTTCTGTCAGTAAAAAGCTTTTAAGCACCACCTCAATATATGTATATTTATAAATTATATACATGTACCTCTATTCTAGTATTACAAGCAATATGTATGTTTTTAATATTTGCTTTCTTATTGAAAGTAAAAGTAATAGTTTTCTTCATACACTCTAATTGTCTTGTCCGTTGTGGATTTTTCTTGCATGCACCCCACTTTGGAGACCATTGCTTTAGACAACCTCCTTCTTTGCTCCACATGCAGTACCAAGCACTTAATCTTTTGAGTCCTGCACTGCAAGCTAAGCTTTGAAGAGGCGACTTGTTGCCACCTCTTCAAAGTTCCCACTTCTATCCCTTTCAGATCACTTTTACATCTATTCTTTGATGGTAGAGAGATGCCACAGCTGTATCTGTTTCTGCTTCTTATGTCTCCCTGTCTCCTCAAAGTATGCAACATTTTGCATTCCTTGTGCTGAGCTAGCAGGGAGAGGGGAAAGAGGGGCAAAACAGCTTTATGGCTCAAGAGCTTACAGCAGGAATCAAAGCAAATAGGGAGTGCTGCTACTCTATGACCTGTTTCCTGATGTTTCCCCATTTTCCTCTCAGAGAGGAACCTGATAAAATTTATGGTGAGTACATCTGAGGGTTTTGTATCATCTTGGGAAGAAAAAGAACAGGCTAAAAGGCTACTAGGCAGGACCCATCAAGGCAAGCTGCTTTCTCCAACTGGCTCTCCAAACCTCTCTCTGTAGGTATTGTGCTGGCACAATGCCCTGGGGGAACCCTGGTGACCACAGAGACTTTGAGCCCCAGCGTCACGATGATGGCTACATTGAAGTCATCGGGTTCACCATGGCCTCGCTGGTGAGTACAGGGGGTGCTGCCAGGCTGGGAGAGCTCTGTGGGCAACACTGCAGAGTGCAAAATACTCCTTGTTACTGAAAAACAGATGTGTTTCCCCATAGATAAGGCCAAAGCGTGCTCTGCTGTTAAACGGCAGAGCCAAATAGTTATTTTCTAATAAGAGAAGTGTTATTTAATAATAAAAAGTATTATTTGCAAAATATGGCTGATTTGCATGTGCAGTGCTCTGAAGTTAAATGGCAAAATTATTACAGTAAGAGCAGTATGATAGGAGCATGAAATCATGATTTTGCTGTGGCAATGTTCTATGATCAAATAAACACTCCTTTCTCTCTTTGGCTTTTGTATTTCATTCTATGGTATTAAAGTATATTTTTAAGTATAGATGGTATATAAATATGAAATATGATATAAACTTATATGGATATATAGTTTCTGTATGCTCACAAAAAGTCTTGTGAAACTTTAGTAATAGCTGTGGAAGACTTTATTAATATTTCTTGTGTGAATTTTATCTCTCCTTTTTATTCTGCTAGAAAAAGGAAATTCAGCCAACAATTTTAATTTGTCAGTGCACTTTCTTCCAGTGCCATCTTTAAAGTGAACTAAAACTGAGATACCATAAAAACAATCTTTCTCTAAATACCCTGGTGTCCTGCTATGGCAGTGGCCAAACACTGTGACAGTGTCTTCAGGGGGTGGTTAAATGCAGCCAGAGTTGGCAATCTCCATGCTAGCACCAATCTACCTAAGGCACTGAAGCTTGGGCTTAGTGTGCCCAGCAGAAGGCTCACAACTGGACGTGCTGGCAAGTTTCTATAGCTCACACTTAGCTCCATACCTGTAGGCCTTTGTTGCTGCTGTCTCATGTAAGCTAGTTTAAAACAAAGACGGATGAGCCTGTTTTAGCTAAACCCCTTGTTATGTGACCTGCCTGCAGTGCATATCACTTTCAGTAAATACCCATGATAATTGTGTTTGTTTCCTCAAAGAGTAAGTCAGTCAAATCTAATCTTCATAGTAAGCAAAAGGCAGTCTTGGTCAATCTTTCCTTTAAAAATTTGTCTGGGTTAAGGATACCTTCCTGGATTTTTTTTTAATGGCCTTGTGGATTAGGGAAATAACCCACAAGAAAAAATTTGTTTATTATCCTAGTAGATCTTGTGAAATAAGAGTGAAGAAGAGTTTAGGACATGTTTTTGAAAATGCTGTCAAAACTTTAGCATGTACAAACTGACAATTTTCAGTCAGAAGATTTTTTTTTTTTTTGTTTTTTTTTTTTTTTTTTGTTTTTGCCACTAACACAGTTCTAGTCAATGGAGGTGGCTAGACAGATCTCAAAAGCTACCAAAAATTTTAGTTAGGGCTGAATTTAAGAAGTAGGGCCCTTTGAGCTTCTGTTTCTCTTTACAGGAAGTCTAGTTGAGAACTGTGGGTCTACAGGTGTGCTTTGTTGTGATGCTGAAGAATGATTATAACCCTAGACTGCGTTGATATAATCCTAACTTGCCTTGTATGTCTCACATGTTCTTTTTGTACCTAAGTAGGTCTGTGAAACCAAACGAAAGAACTACTTTATAAAAAGCATTATTATATTATTGATCATATTGTCAATTGATCCATCATATTAAGTACACAGGTCTTGACTTGTGTTTACACTGTTCTCTGTTAGTATTGCATTAATATGAGAATCTTTTTCTGCATCTGAGAGATGAGAGTGAATTGTCACATAATAGTCATATTCATTAAAAAAATACATTTCTGCCCAAACATGTCTGCCTAGAACTTGAAGGATCTGCTTATTGTCTTCCTTGCTTAATTTCTTTGAAGTGAATTCTTTAACATGATATTTAATTGTTTTTACAAGGTCCTTCTGTTTGCTCTTTTCAGCCTGTCTAATGCTACGTTTGACTTGATGTGTAAGCTTTCATAATAAAAAATTTAAATTTACTAATTCACATTAAGGACCATTCTGTTCAGGAAGAGGAAATAATTTTTCTGTCTCACAGATGTATCTAATTAGGGATGTTGTTTGAAAGAGCAAATAATTATTAGCATGACTGTTATTGTAAAAACAAACCAACCAAAGCAAATTGAAAGCTTTAAGAATGAGCACAGTTATTAATTTGTGTGTGCACACGTGTGTATATATAGATGATGAGTCCGATAATGCGTGTGGTTAGATATCTGCTTGATGCTTGGCAGTTTTGGGGTGAAAGCACTTTCTTCAGAATAGCTTAGGAATGGAGTACTGTGTAATGGATCCTGCCAGCAAAGTGGCATTTTGGATTTGTTACCTGCCTCAGCTGCCTCTGTTCTGAGCCATCTTTTCCCCGCTTGGTGTTTTGTTTGTTTGTGTATTTTGTTTGTTTTTGCAGGCTGCTCTCCAGGTGGGTGGCCATGGAGAGCGGTTGCACCAGTGCCGGGAGGTGACGCTTTTGACGTACAAGTCTATCCCCATGCAAGTGGACGGCGAGCCCTGTCGGCTGGCTCCCTCCCTCATCCGCATCTCCCTAAGGAACCAAGCCAACATGGTGCAGAAAAGCAAGAGGAGAACGTCCATGCCTTTGCTGAATGAGTGAGTTGCACATGTGCATGTCCTAACGGCAGGAGGCCCCTGTGGGGCAGCATATTCCGTCATGGATTTTGCATGTACTGGACTTTCAGCGCATTTGAAAAATAAATTTAAAAAAATCACATCTTCTGAAGTCCCTTTTCACTCTATTGTAAATACTTACCTGACTTTCTTTTACTCTTTATCTTCTGAGTTACCCCTGTCTTGCTTTTAGACTGGTGTTCTATCTTTCTGTTATGTATTTATTTATTTAGAGAGGTTTCTGCAGGCTTGGCAGTGTGCCCCTTGGCTTCTGATGGTTCTGCATATGTATGCCATTTGCCCTTGAAGTTTTTTTTATTTAGTTTCTCAGCTTTATTGATCTGCTTTTTAAGCTGCATTGAAGACCCTGTAAGAGATTGCCACAATCAAGAACTAATCAGGACATATTTCAGTCTCTGCTGTGAGCACATGCTGCCTGGCAGAGTCTACGGAGAAAGATTTGAATGTCCTGAAAGAACTGTTTGTACTTTGTAGGAAATCTTTCTCCAGTATAGGAACCCAAATGAGAAATGAGTATTGTAAATATGACTAGAGAAATCTGAGATTGGAAACTAGTAGCTTGTGAAGAAGAATACCCAGGACTAACATTCCTTTTCATCATTAAACTTTCTTTACAAGCACTGCAGATATAATTTAATTAGAAGAAACATAAATAGTCAAATTTTGACCTATGAAAGTGGCCATCCAATAACATTACTTAGATTATTTTGTAGAGGGCATTATTGTAATCCTTGTATAGGTCTTTATGGCTGCTAAAATGAGTGTGGCAAGGGACTTTGCTGTTTTTCATCAAATATTCCAAATGTGAAGAAAAACAGTCTGTCCCTTATCCAAAGATACTGAATTAATGCCCCAAATTTATTAAGGATCCACATTTAATTCAAACACTCATGCATCGAGGCTTTAATATGTCTGGGGAAATGGGTGGGGGAATTTTGCTGTTGCAATTGTAATGGTGAGGCAAGTTCTGTGAAGAGATGTAATACCTTCCGAAAGACTAACTCATATAACTGGAAAAAAAAAGGACACGGTCTTAGGTACACCTTTTCTCTTCAGCTATCTTAAAAGTTGTCTCCCTCACAGCTGTATACCTAGAGAAAGATCCTGCTTTACTTCAAACTTTGACTCCAGCCCTTAAGAGTTTTTTGTCATCCCCTGGCTGTCAATCTATTAATGTAATCAAAGCCACCCTGGTTACTTTCAACGTGTTCCTGTTCAATTTAGCACTCTGTTTTCTTACTGAGACTAATGCTTTAAGTTGCAATAGAAACCCATTTCTCTAATGTGCAATTTCTATTTGCCTGGAAAATATATAAAGTATACTCATCTTCCTTGAGCAGAGAATAGCAGACTCTTGACTATGGGCAGCAGTGCTCAATTTCACTCATCCACAACTCCTCAGTCTTCAGGAAAAGCAAAGGGCAGCCCTGGGACACCTTTTTCTGCACTGAAGGAGGCTAATGCAAACCTAAAAGGAGAATTCATGGTATTTCAAACTGATAATTAGCATGGGTTAGGTTTGGATTTTTAGATCTGAATTTAAACTGTGGTAGGGAAATACAGATTTGTGGTATATGCCAGTTGTCAAGGGCATATTATTAGTGGTTTAGCTTGATTTAAATGTGCCATGGTACACTAAATTGCTGTCAGAGTCCTTTGATTTGGCTGACATATTTTTTTGCAGATCTGTGTCTTGGGAAAATGCAAATGATCTGTCAGGAACTGTAGTCTCAGCTTCACATATCAGAAACTGTGTGTACATATTTACATCTATTTCTATATATAACTGTGTATGTTCGCTCTGAGGTGTTAAAAAGAAGGGATAGAGGACTTCAATCTTCTACTGTGATAAAAAGTAAATGACTTGTTAAAGGTTAAAATCTAGGAAGCATATTAGTATTGTAAGAAATTAATTCAATATGATGCTGATTGGTAGTATTGCACAAGTGAAGAAATTTGTAATTAAATATGTTTATCTATTTTTCTTAACTTGATCTCTAGGATATAACTCCTTGTTCTGTTGGAATCTCCCAGAAAGACTGGTATTGGATTGAACATGATAGATGAAGGGGTTTTTAATGACTATCATTTAAATGTCAGATGTGTGAGATAAGTCAGAAGGTCTGGAGCTATCTTTAATTACTAGACAGCTCTTCTTGAGCTCCTTGCCAGAACAGCAATTAGAAAATTGTCTTGGTCACAGAAATTCAGAGTTGTTATTATTGTCAGCTTTGATGTTATTGCCAGATAAAAAGTGGGAGTAAGTAGAAGAAGACTAAACTTGAAGTCTTACGCTGTTTCTCTATTTTTTTTTTTTTTGTCCTGATCATATTTTTTCTGGTTTTTTGTTTTTTTTTTTTTTTTTTTTTTTTCTCTGCGGGTTTTTGTGGGTTTTTTTTTTTTTAATTTTTTTTTTTTTTTTGTTTCTCCTTGAAACACTTGTTGGCTAAGTTCTCATTCCTCTTCTCCACTCTTGATCACAGTAGCATGTGAAAGAGACAACACAGCTTGGTTTTCTGTGACTGAGCCAAGAATGTGGCTGTTGTGAGCTATACCAAAAATTATGGGGAATAAAAAGAGAAACTGTGGTTCAGCTTTTCCAGGAATAATTTTCTGATTAGAAACTCCTGCATAGTGTATTCCCCAGTAAGTTTCAGTTAATGAACACTTTCTGAATTGCAAAATGTATTTTGCTCTCACTGACTTTTAGTTTGGCTTGAGGGAGAGCATCCTGCATAATGGAAGAGAAAGAAGAGGGAAGAGCTTTTAGATAAAACATATTTGATATATTCAAGAAAAAGAAAGGGATCATTTGAATATAAACTCTAAAGGTGAATATAAACACTAAAGGTGAATATTAATAAAATGCAAGTTTCCCTAAGGTATGAGCAAGAAGAATGGAAACAACAACTTGTCATTGTAGATACAAAATCTCCAGTAAGGGTATTTTTTCCTTAAACAGTAATTAGTTGGTCAACCCTTGGAGAAAATTCAATCCGTCTGGATCTCAGCTTTGATGTTTGTTTGCATTTCTGGACCTGCATCCGAAGTCTGTTGCTTTGAAATTTTCAGTGCCTGTGGAAGAAATTCTGGGATCCCTTGTCTTGTATGTTTATGTGCTGAGCTTTTCACTGCTCCTCACTTGTAGCTTTAGAAAACTCCAGTGTGCCACATAGCAGTGGTTTTCTCCATTTGCATGTCTTCAGCTGCTCTTGGCTTCCTAGTGTGAGCTCAGAGGTCTGCATGGCCCTTCATTCAACTTTTATGTGACACATTCCTTTTGTTTCTGTTTAAATGTTGTGTCTTTCTCTTTCTTTCTTCTCTTCCACTCCTCCTCTCTCTCTCACCTTTTTTTCCTGTCTGTCCTCACCGTGTCCTGTTTTTCTCCTGGCCACTCATTTCCTGCTGCCTTATAGTATCCATAAAGTGCAGTCTGCTGACCTGAGGAGAGTCTCGGCTCCCCCTGATTCCTTCACTGTGTGAGTATCTGGCTTTTTTCTATTCTAAAAGTTCCACAGTCTTTTGTTTTTACCCTGTGTCATTCAACTGAGAGATGGGGCAGTTAAACCCAATGGCAAATGGAAAGAGGGAGCTCAGATGACAGCATGACTGATGGGCACAGTTCCACAGTCGCCAAGTAAGGTGAGGAGGACATGTCTGGTGATGGTGATCAGGTTCAGCCATGAGCCAGCTCTCCAAACATCCATGGCAACAGGCACATCTGAGGTTTAATGCCAGGCATCATTTCTGGAAAGAATTGACGTGAGATCTTTTCAATCCAAAACAGGATGTTTCCTCTGAACATGAGGAAAAAAATGCTTTTTATCAAAAGGCTGACAGAGCACTGGCACAGATTGCCAAGAGAGGTTGTGGAATCTTCATCTTTAGTCATAGTCAAACCCCGCCTGGACATGGTCCCAGATAGCCTGCTCTAGGTGGTCCTGCTTGAGCAGGGGTTTGCACCAGATGGCCTCTAGAGGTCTCTTTCAGCTTCAACCATTCTGTGATTCTGTGAAATTTTGGAAAGCTCCAAGTGTTTTATTGTTATTTTGGGAAAAGGAAAGATTTTCAGTTTGGTGTGCCTTTTCCATGGGTCCAGTCTGCTGTATTCTTCTGACAAGCATAAAGTAATGAAACCAACTTGCCTCACCAATTCAGCATCTAAATCAGCCTCTAGAAAAAAGTTGAGGTAACCCTTATTTCTTACACAGAACATTGAGCTGCGTGTCTAAGAGAAAGAGTACTATTTCCAAGCTCAGGGATATCCCTTGGAAAATGACCTCCAAGTTTTGATGGAGTTCATTTTAATGTCCCAGTTGATATCAACTGTCAGAATAAAGCAGGAAGAGAAAGACTTGCAAACTAATTTGAAAGTCAAAGTTGTTCTCTATCTTAAAATCTGTGAAAATAGATTAAACATGCTGCTGCACTGGGGCTGGCAATTAATGTGTCTGGCAAATTAAAATAAGAACCCATGAGGTAACATGGAAATATGATTTGGATTATGATGGCTTTGAGATTCAAATATTGCTTTGTGGTTTTTTTTTGAACAACATAGAAGAAGACTGAGTTCCAGTTAGTACTGAACAGCAGGGCAGATCTTACTGAGACCTGGTGATGGATTATATCCTGTCTTAGATAAATGTCAGGATTTCTGCAGCAGGAGATGCATGGGAATTTGGGGCAGCCAATTTATTAGCTCATGTGTTTTTTTGCAGAGACAGTAGAACTGTAGTGTGTTCCATTGCAAATGCTTATACAAGGTGTGTAAGTAAATACAAGCACATTTTTGAGGGTCTTTTAAAAGGAAGGTGAAAACTTGCATTTTCCTGCTGAATGTTCAGAGATGAGAAGATGCATATGTGAGAGTACATTTTTCTTGTGGGTTGATGCTGAAAATTACCATTGAAAAATAAGATATTTACTTGTGTAGATCCTACAGCTCTTCTAAAAATGGAATAAACACTGTGGGTAAGCTGCAATTATTTTTTCAATTACAAAATCTGCATAAATGAAAATACAAATATCACTATTGGTAAATACCACTCCTTTATGGAGTTTATGTGGTAATGATTGTGGCAGAGTATGTATATAAAACCCGTGTGAATAACAAAAGGGTAAGAAAAAATAACATTTTTGCTTTTAGAGGTTCAAATGCCAAGCAAAACCAACTTTCTGAAGCTGAATATGGTTACTGTTTATAAGAGGAGAGTCTAACAAACAGTAGGAGGCAAGGTCTAAGGGAGAAGGTGGTAGAATGTGAACTATTCTCCAAATGCAGAGTTAAGGATGAAAATGCTTGGAGAGATCTTTTTTTCTGAAACATGATTTATAGGGAATTGAGTATCCTCATTTGTTCATCAGTTTTTCCTGTTTAGCATGAGGGTTTCTGAATGTGAAGCTGTCCTGTGCTCCCTGGCAGCCCAGAAAGCCAACCATAAACTGAGCTGCAGCTGAAGCAGCATGGCCAGCAGGTCCAGGGAGGTGATTCTGCCCCTCTATTCTGCTCGTGTGAGACCTCACCTGTAGTGCTGCATCCAGCTTCAGGGTCCCCACCATGGCAAGGATGTTGACCTGTTGGAGTGAGTTCAGCAGAGGGCCCCCAAGGCAATTAGAAGGATTGAGCATCTCTCCTATGAGGAAAGGCTGAAAGAATTGGGATTGTTCAACCTGGAGAACAGAAGCTTTGGGGTAACCTAATTGTGGCCTTCCAGTACCTGAGGGGAGCCTGCAAGAAATATGGAGAAGGACCATTTGCAAGAGCGTGTAATGACAAGTGATTTCAATCTGAAAGAGAGCAGGTTTGGATTAGATATTAGGAAGAAATTCTTTATGCTGAGGTGCTGGAACAGGTTGCCCAGAGTAGTTGTGGGTGTCCCATTCCTGGAGGTATTCAAGGCCAGGTTGGATGGGACTTTGAACAACCTGGTCTTTTGGAAGGTGTCCCTGCCCATGGCAGGGGAGCTGGAACTAAATTATCTTTAAGGTCCCTTCCAACCCAAAAAATTATATAATTCTGTTTAGAGGAATTATTACTTATGGAGAACCTGCTGTGCTTGGAAGGGTAAAGTGTGAGAGAACAACAGTTAGCACGCAGGAGAAGAAAAGCAGGTTCCAGGATTCTACTGGGAACTTCAGAATGTGTCTGTACTTTAAGTGTCTCTCTGGGTCTAGCTCTACAAAGCCAAATGTGTTTGCTGAAGAAATTGTGAGATAAAAAAGTGCCAAAGAATTTACTACATTTGGGTTAACCTAGTTTATCTGGGTTAACTCTTATGTTTGATTTTGCCTGTGACATGGCTGATTTTCTCCCTAGTAGCTGTACAGAACTTTTTTTTTGGATTTATGGCAAGAATAATGTTCTGGCTATTGCTAAGTAGTGTTTATCCCAAGTAAACACTATTTTCAATGTCTCGCACTGCTGCTGAGGAGCTGCACTCAATGCTGGGAGAGTGTGAGGCCAGGTAAGCTGACACAAACTGGCCAAGGGGATGTTTCACACCAGAGAAGGTCATGCCCAGTATGTAAACTGGAGAAATTACCTGGCAGGGGTCTGAGTGCTGTTTGGGGATATGCTGCGTGGTGGACTTTTGTAAAATTTTCTCTCCTATTTGTAATTCTTTCTGTCCCCCACTTATCATTACTATTGTTATTATTATTACCATATCTATTATTATTATTATACTATTTTGTTCTATCATGAAATTCTTATCCCATCTGTGAGGTTTATACTTTCTTTCCAAAGCTTCTGCTAACAAGGGGAGTGTCCTTTGGCTCAGCACTCTATGACATGGCTGCTCATCTAGCTCAGATTCCCAAATGAAAGAAAAAAAAAATGTGGTAGAGCTTATAATTTCGAGGGTATTTGTTTGGGTTTTTTTTAGGTAAAGATCTTAGCAAGAGCTTCACCTTAAAATAGTAGATAACTTTTGTGAAGCCTTGAAATTTGTCCATAGAAGAGACTGAATGAGTCTGCTCTGTTGTGGCAGTTCTTATGTTTCAGGTAGATAGATGCTGTCAGAAACTTATTTTTAATGTATCATTTCCAAGCTCTGTCAATGTGAACTTGAAAGTAAGGTGAATTCATTTTTCTCTTTTGGCTACAGCTTTCCTCTTTCCAATTATTGTAAACACCAGAATACTTAATTAATTGTTCATGTTTATTTCTTCTCTAGGAGACAGGTAATTCATTAATCATTCATTGTCACTACAAACATCCCCTAAAAGACTGGTTTTTTTACTCAAGTATTTTTTTTATGGGGGGGCAGTAGATTTCCTTTTCTGTTTACTGAATCATGTTAAAATCCATATGTAGGATGGTATAGGCTGTATTCTTGAAGATCTGTTAGAAATTTGTCACTGGATTCTGTAGACTTGTTGGACTGTTTATATTTTTTTTCCTTTCTCTGTGGAGACATGAAGTGTATGAAATGGTTCACTGGGTTAATAAATAATTGAAATAGGGATTGGGGTATTTATAATTTACAAGTCTGTCTTCCCAGCTGAATCAAGCTGGTGGCATGGCAGAAGTGTAGCAGATTGCTGTGCAGGAGTGCCAGGCTTGGGCAGGACCCAAGCTTGCTCTGCCTGTGCTCTTCCCTGGGTGGAGGCAGGAGCACATGTCCTAGGAAAACCAGCTGTGCTCCAAGTGAGCTGTCTGGCATCCTCTCACTTGTTGCTGGATGATTAATAGGGGTGAGAGGAGGAAGTCATGGCTTCATCAAAAGCCAAGTGTGTTTTCTAGATGAAATCTCTTGGAGAAGATTCATATTTAGGTTTGTGTTTAAATGATAAACATGAACAAACAGGATGTTTTATTTGACCTCAATCTTTATTTGCATCCACATGAGGCAAATGACATTTAGGATTTAATTCTGTGGATTGATCTGTTTATGGAATGAATTCTTAATTAGATTCTTTAGGAGGTAATGGACTTCATTTATCTGTACTTTCAAATACTTTTTGTTGACTATGTAATACACCATTAAAAAAATAATTGTTAAGAGGTAAGTAATTTAAGTAATTTAGGTTGAATTAAAGTGCAGCAATCTCCCAAAATTTATTTATAAATTGCTGCTTTATGTGGAAAGCTTTTCTTCCTCACCTTGCAGTTAAGCAAGCTGTTTTACACAGTATTTAGAGACATCTATTTCCATTCATACTGTACTAATGTTTCTGTTCAGTGACATTCATCACCCTATTATTTGCTTTTACATGGACATGCTCATGTATTTAATCTTTCTGGTTTATGGATATACTGAGTATGTCTGAACAAAGACAAATTGATCTACTTGTATAATAATATGGATTATGATGCAGTGTCTATGAAGTTGATCTATTTGTATAATAATATGGATTATGACGCAGTGTCTGTGAAGACTGAAGTAGTGTTGATAGTGGAAGTATTTCGCTCAGCTCCATAAGAGCTCTGTGAATGAATGAGTTAATTAGTTTGACTGATGAGGACAATATACCCTGGTGTCAATTACTAGTCTGATAGCACAAGAAATGAATATTCAAATAGTGAGTTTTAGAATCAAATTTATTTTAAATAGGTAATAAAATTTAGTGGCACAATGTGTCAGCCAATGACTATTGTAACAGAACAAAAGGTGTTTGCAAAGAACTGGTGAACAAAACCATCAAGCTTCAGTTACTGAATAAATGTCTCTTTTGTGCTGGTGTCAATACACACACGTATTTAGGAATGTTAATATATGTTTACCTGTGTTATGAATATGCTGCTTATGACTGGACCTGGCTAAGTGTATCAATCTCTACCTTGTAGAAAGGAACTCCTGGCATTGTTATTTCTGGTAATAGTTTATTTTCTATAGAAAGCTACTGTTTCCAAGGTTACATTTTTTTTTTTAGTAAGATAACTAAATTTTTCAAATGGACAAGAGGCCAAGTTCTGTTTCTCTCCAGTTGTATGTTTTAGCACACAACCTGTTTATGTCATGGTTTTAGCCTGTCTTTATAAAAATGGTAGAACAGAATACCAAACTCTGGCACTTGCCAGTTGATTGCCCTCCTACACTGGACCTGCTCCATTTTCTCCTCAGAAAATACATCACACTTTATATGGTATGCTTGTTGCTCCTGCAGAAGCAAAGTCAGAGATATGCAGTGTGTCTGTATATCAGAAATTATACTTTTTGCAAAAGCATGGGAAGTGTCCTCCTAAACAATTTCTAATTAAAAGAGAATTTTGGAGAGAGTGTGTGTGGTTCTTGGAAGAATAAATATATACTAGATTTGCTCTTCATTTTAGATATTTTTCTTCCTCCAGCTCCAAGCAAAGAAAAAGACCTTGTTTACTTTGTAGGTGAAAGGACTAATTTGACTCAGAAGGTGATACTGTGCATGCAAGAGGTTGCCATCGGCTTCAAGCTAAGAAATAACATTTGTTTTTCTTCCTTACATGGCATTAGGTAGTGAGTCAGCATATCTACAGAAGGCAGTGTTGTCTTTCTCTCCTCTTGGTGTCCAAACACCATCTTGTGAGGGATGGTGTTTGGACACCAACAGGTAGGTTGGAAGGGAGGCAATTAGACAAGGTTTGGCAGATGTTGACATCTGTCATCCTGAGGTTATCCTGTTTTCATCCCCTGCTTTCATGAGATACCTAGATTATTCATTGTGATAATGTGTTGAGTTTGAAATTATGCCCATTGTGATAGAATATAAGTCTACCACTGATTAATTGATGACATTAGTGAAGAAAATTCACAATACAACCTAGGTTTAGAAATGAGGTTACACAGGTAACATTTGTGAGATGTGCCTTGTCCTTCACTAGCAGTGCAAATGCTATAAATCAGATAGTTTAAAACTGAGACAAAGAAAGAAGCAAAACTGTATATTTATGAGAGTACACAGCATTATGTCTTTGAAAAGGCAGCATGTATTAGACAATATTATTGTAGGCAGAGTCCTGGTACTGACAAGATTAAAACAGAAAATATAGACAGTATTTTGGTAAAAGCACAGAATGAGTAATCTACTTTTAACTGACCTGGGGCTGAGTTCCTATAGGACAGACATTTGCTACATGCATTATAATACACAGATTGTCTCTCTTTCTTTAAAAGTGGAAGATGCAAGTGTGGCTAAATTAATTTGTATACAATCTAGCTAAACTTAAAAAAACCAAAAGTTATATTAAGGTAGAAACTAGTGTGAAATGAAAAAGAAAACCTTTCTTGACAAATTTCTATCCATATTTATATAGATATTTCATATTAAGTATATGAACACTCAATTTCTAGATACTGACCTATTGAGTCTTTCAAAATTATCAGTAGTTGGGGTATCTAAATCAGACTAAATTCTGTAAAAGTGAGGTGGCCATACTGCTTCTTGCTTTTAAAAGTCCTCCTGGGTTTTGAGTATTAGACTCACAACTTTCGAAATCTGGCTCTTAGCCACATTTTTGTTGACTGTTTCTCAGACCTGAGATGCTGGATCAGGATCCTTCAGTAATGTTGTGTAGATGCTCTCATGGGCAGAGGTTGTCCTGAGATACTTCCCAAGAAGCATCTTTCTGTGTCTTGAAATTCAAGTTGGCAGATCTATGTACTGGCTGTGGTAGGGCTCTAAGAATCTACACAAAGTCAAACTGGACAAGGGCAGGGTAGCTTCATGGAGGTATAAAAATTCAGGAAAAACCATTGCAGTTTCAGATCACACAAACAGCAAACAGGATTCTGATCTTGTTTATTATTTAAGGTGTAATATCTATGCTGTTGTGCAGTAGATAGTCATAATTTTAAATGCAGGAATAGGCCTGTGGGGATGTGGATCACTTTTGAAGAGGCTTGTGCACTTTCTTCTTTCAGAGAAGATTGAATTCCCTTCATATCCTGTTTTCCTTTACTTTTCTAGTAAAGGAACTTTTCTTTCTTGTTTTCTTGCAGTCCTCATTCCATCCCAGATCGCCTGCGGATCAGAGTGAACAGGATTAATTTACAAGAATACGAGGGGCTACATTATGACAAAGAAAAACTCCGGGAAGCTTGTAAGTTGGAAGAAGCCAGATTGTAGCTGCTTTTGATAGAACATTCTGTACAAATCTTACTTTGACCAAGACAACCCCTACTCCAAAAATAACAACAAAAACCCCCAAATACAGAGTCAAGCATTTGGATGAGTAATATTGAGAGTACGCTCATCTATATGTGCATATGTATAAATGTTCTCTCTATATAAATAACCTCTATAGAGATCATGTATACAGATTTCTCCTGCCTTCTTATTTACCCATGCTTCTGCCCTGTGATTATATTTACAGTAAAATAAGTAATGTTCTGCACACAGGGTATTTTTTTATTCATATCTTTCTGTTGTTTCTGCTGGGTTTCTAGTATATGAAACTGTAACAGATTTTATGATTAGCATCAGATTTCAAGCTGAGTGGGACACTATGATATATTTGATATTGAGAATGTGCACAGACCTGGAACATGGTTCTTGCACAGGTACATTTATCTTGGGGAACAAATCTGGGTTCCCCACACCCTTATTCTTTATCAGCTTTCAGTTTTCTGAGAATAATCACTGTTTTGTTTCCTCATGTAATGGTTTAATTGCTGTGTTTATGGGTAAGTCAAAAGCAGACAGTGGTTGCTTTGGCAACATTGATGATGACAATCTGAACTTAAAAATGGAATTTCTTTCCTTGGTGACACACAGAGTCATTAATCAATGAGGGACAGGGCTACTTGTGATAACAATTTAATAGTCTTGTTACGCATCTGGCTCATTATTCATATTAAATTACAAGCATAAGTGTTTGTTGTGCAACAGAGCTTCAGTTCCCTCTGCAATACAGAGTGCTCTGGTAATTACAGGACGACAATCCTTTTAATTGGTTTGCTTATCGTCTTGTTGGAAGATAGTTAAACTGTTTCCATTTCACTCTTCCAGTCTCCCCCCTCCTCAATCTACCATCTCTCCTTACACCAAAAGAATTTAAATAGCTTAAATTTTAATATAGGTCTTGACAGCCTTAACTGAAGTTACTGGATTTTGGTAATATTTAAAGTAAACAAAGCCTTCTTCACTGGACTGAGAAGAATTTTAACAGGATCAGGATTATTCCTGACTGGAGCAGAACTTGCTTCAAGTTCAAATTGAGAGTTTGGCATTGAGTAGATTTCAGGCCACACTGAACACACAACTCCCCAACACTGCCAGAAACAACTTGGTTCATTTGAGGGTTTCCCATCTGAGGAGAGCTATTCTTATCCATCCTTAGTATGGATGCAAATTTTCTGTGTCTATAGTTAGCATGATTTTTGTCCTTAGGAGTCATTACATATTCTGACAAAACATACAATTTCTTACACTGTTGTCACTGCAGTGGTAATTGTATATTTATCTTATTTGTCACCTGCCAATTTCATAATGATAAGATTATAAAAAAATGCCAGCAACTGATCTAACATCCTGGTTTTAGATTTCATATGGATTTGATCACTCAGTAGGAGTGTGCTTAAGAGGTTATCATACAAAAAAACAGATATTTGTTCATCAAGAGTTAAAATGATTGATTTTGGACATTGGTGGTTCATTTGTAATAAAACCCTTTTGAATCTTTGAAGTTAATGCATGAAAATATAGCATAGCTGGACTGTGGTCCTCTCTAGATATTTTTCCATGAGTTGTTTATTCCTACCAGTCCTCTTTTAACTGTCACAGTAATGCTTGTGCATTGCTGTTGTTACTTACTGTAAGAATATGAGAAAGCAAATATCCTCATTTTCCTAAAAGAGAGCAGAAAAGATACTTCACCTTAGCCTTTATAGTAGTAATGTCCTGTGAGAGAGCATGTAATTTTTACGGTACACTGGTGATCATAAGTCTACTTATCTGTTTATATAACTTTAAATGCCTCTTTTACTGGGGAGTTGCTACCAAAGAAGTGCTGGTTTCTTTCAGCGAGACTGTAGCTCTTGTGTGTATGGATGTCTCACTAGTTGTTTGCAGGAGACCAGGTTTATGTACTTGTTCAGGCTTTGGGAGAATACCTACAACTGAATCCAGAATGCTATACTTAATATCCATTCTCCATCCACATGGATTAAAACCAGTTCAACCTCCCTAAATAATTTGAGAAAAAAGCAGAATCTCACAACAATCTGAACAGGAAAAGGAAGCCAGTTAATAAGGAGTTACCACTGAAGGAAAAATAGCAAAGAACTTATTCAGGTTTTTGCCTCTTACATGTCTCCATAATACAGTTTTGAAAGCTCTGACCTCACTGTAATAATCTGGATAATTTTAACTCACAGTGAATACATTAATGCTTGCTTGCTTGTAATACTGATTTGAATCTATCAACTATTTCACCTAAGATTGTCTTCCTGATATAGAAGAGCTCATGATACAAAATGTTCCATGAAGATTAATCTTCACTCTGCTGGAGGTAGACACTTCATTTTGAAAGCCTCCAGAACAATTAAAGGATGTCATTTTGTCCTTTGAAGGGCATGACTGTCCTTAGCTCATTCTCCTTCTGTTTTCTACTTTTCTTGTCAATGCAGCTGGCATTTAACCCAGATGCTGTTTCTGAATTGTCCCTTTCTTCCCTCCCCTTGCTCCTTCTTTTCTTCTGTCAGCATCTCAGTATTGTGTGGGGGATGATTAATGATGGTACAGAAGGTGCTTATTGATCCTTCAGTGAGGAGGGATGAATGCTTCAATGCAGCATTTTAAGAAAGGGATATATGTTGGCATTTTAGTTATGTTGTAATATTCTTCACTGCAAATGTAATTGTCTTTTCTAACACCTCCTTATTCATGTCCTAAGCACTTGTCACCTTAGTCACAAGCTTTACCATCTCTGACCAATATGAGAGTTGTACATTACAATGACCCTAACTAAGATTATCTTACTCAAGAAGTGAGGTGGACTGATGTTTCTAGGTGCACAGAATTTATTTCTGTCTCTGCTGCCTGCTTGTCTTGTGTGCACTCTCTCTGGCTTCCTGTAAAATGTGATCCAAAGCAGCACTGTGGGTGAACAATTGAGTTATTTTTAAGACAGCAAAATCTTTCTGTGTGAGACCCTATTTTCTCCTTTCCAATATAACTAAGAATTTCCTAACAAAGGAGGCATATGCGGAAACTAATTATGTTTAAAAAAAAGCAACAAACAAACCAAACGTAAGCTAGACAGTGGCCTAGTGAGCTTCAGTGCTTCTTAGTTTTTCCTAGCAACACCATTTCAGATATGCATCATAAAAATCTACCAGTGAAATAACTCACCATAAGCAGAAACTGAACAGTTGTGGGATTTTTTAATAGGGTATGTCAGCCCTTACTGCCCTTAACTTGTTGTGTGTGCCCTAGGCATGAAGAATAATCTTAGCTTCCTCAGTACCACTAAGATTAAGGAGGAATCATAGCCAATTGCAGTGATGACAGTATCAGAAATAACTCTCAGCCCTGTGTCACCTCTAGGTTTCCCATACTTTATTTTACACAGATGCAGCTACTCCTTATGTCCTCTAGAACAAAATGTCACACTAGACTCAAGAAATGTTAAGAGAAAATTTAGTTCCATGTGTTTAATGATTGACCTGTCTGTAACCTAACAGTCCTCTTCTGTGCAGCCTCCTTGCTCTGTGTGTGTGCATGATGCTGTAACATGATGGGATCTTAACCTTGAATTCTTGTCTGTTTGATTATGTGTAGTTAAATGTCTATAATGTGTGTGCCTCTAATATCTGTGGGTTACTTGAGGGTTTTGGGATCATCCTAGGAGTTCTTATCAGATATATGAGGGTACACAGATTGACAAGGTTGTGAGTCGTTCTGATGTGTACATGTACAGTAATACTGTAGCTTCCTCATACCAGAAAAGCACTTAGAATCCTTGATCTACCAAAGGCATTCAGACTCTTTAAAATGTAGGGATATCACAGGTGAAGCTAATTTGGAGACTAGCTCATGTGATTTTGAACAGCTAGCTAAGTAAGAAAGGGCCAACACTTAGGATTTGGCATTTATATCCTGAATATGTAATATAAAAGCAGGGAGCAGAAGACTTCCTGATGAGCCACAAAGGAAATATGCTTATATTGGGAAGCAATTTTGAGCTGGATGGATTTAGACAAGGCAGGTTGTGCAGGTACCAACCTTCTCTTTCATCCTGTAAAGGATGCACCAATGGGCATTTATTTGTCAGATCTCTTTGGGCACATGGTGGAAGATCCATAAAAGACAACATTACCTTCACTCTGCTTAGAAGTCAGCGCCTTGCTCTAAAAACTTTGTTTTGTCAATATATGTTGTGCACGAATTAGCTAATTTAGATATTTCTTCATCATGGTGATTTCATAAGATCTGAAACTGAGAGGGCTTGAATGGATTGCTGAAAGCCTCCCAGCAAAATGAAAGCAAGAGGATCAGAAGCCAGTAGTGAGTTAAATATTGGAAATTGCTGTTCTCTGAGGTTGGGGGAAGGAGTAAAGCCAAGCCATTGAAATTTCATATAATGAGGTTATGAATCATAGAATGATTTGAGTGGGAAGGGAATTTTAAAAATCATCTAGTTCCAACCCACTGTTGTGGGCAGGGACCTCTTCCACTAGAACAGGCTGCTCAAAGTCCCTGACCTTGAACTCTCCCAGGGATGGGGACATCTTCCACTTATCTGGGCTACCCATTTCAGTGTCTTGCCACTCTCATTGTAGAGAATTTCTTCCTAATATCTAATATAAATCTACCTTGTCTTGACACCTCACAGGGCATATTCAGTACAGTCCTCTGCCTTTTGAGCTAGTGGGAAATTGTCATGTGTTAAGTTTGTCATCTTCTTTAAACTAGAAGAGATAGGCATTTATAAAATTTATATTTATATAAAATTGATAACTTTATAAAAATTTATATTTACCTTAGAAAAGTGGGTAGAAGTGAGAATATTAAGTTCCTTTTTAAACTTTCCAGGAAATCACACTGTAGTTTGTCTTTCTCATGTTGGCTTTTCTGTGAGGTTCTTCTGTCCATATTCAACTTGCATGTTTCCTTAGCACTTTCCTGATTTGATTTCCTCTTACATTTTTAGTCCTGGTTGTCCCCTTTGGATAGCTCATCCCACACACATCCTTCCTGCCTGTCTTAGTCTGTCTCTGCAGACCTCACAGCAAAGGTTCCTGCTCTTTTTCTTTACCCTAAATACTTATGTGTTGTTTATCTAGATCTCTGCTGTCATCTCTTACTCCCAATATCCATTCCCAGCCAGCTTCAATTCCCAGCTCTTCAATTTTTTTTTCTATAATCTATTCCTTTTTGTGTGGTTTTTGGCATAGGCTCTCTCCTCCTTTGACTTGGCAACTTCTTTGCTTTTGGCAGGATATTGGAAAAATCACTGAGAGACTGGAGCCTTTTCAAATATGGTCTGGTTTAATCTTATAACCTCCAATATGTTTTACCTCCTTATATGTGAGGATTTTGCAAGTGGGCTAAAAAACTAGTAGCCAATGAACCTAGAGAGAATTGGGGTTTTTTTTCAGTATAATAAACAGAAGGGATCTGAAGAGATACGTGACTTAGATTTGTGTGGTAAGAAAATCCTTTTATTCAAACTCAGTTTTACTAAAACTACACTGGCAAAAGCCAGACCTCTTAATAAAAATGTCTGAATATTTTATAATTCTCTACCATGTATTTGCTTGGTCCTTCATATTCTTAATATCAGTGGAAGCCCTTTAGGAAAATGGCTTACTTATGACATATTCAGTAGAGAGGATCCTTTATTTGTTACATTAAACATTTACAGTTCATTGTCTAATCTTCCCTGTCCCCTGAGGTGTGTCAGAATCAGAATGAATTTTCCTGGCATTTGCATCTACTGTAATGCTCTGTCTCAAGGCTGTTTTGTTTGGGATTTGAGTGGGTTTATCATGGTATTAAGATCACAAATTGAATCCTTTCATAACAATAAACAGGTAAGTTAATTGAATTTTATAATAAATGTAAGTATGTTTGGGCTTCCTTCATTTGCGTCCTCAATACTATTAAGGAGTTCACTAGCCCTAGGTATTCAGCATAATGGGTACTTAATAGGTGGAAGATTTGTTTGTTGCTTATAAATTCCACAGCTAATTTCATGAGGACTTAGGAAATCACTCCTAATCTTGCAGTTAATTAGAACACCAGGCTGGCCATACTGCTGCATCTGCCCAACCCTTCTCCTGCTGATCCTTGGTTTTGGTTAGTGTTGCCAGGAACAAAAACCCTTCTGCAGTACTGGTTCAGATTATGAAGCAACTGTCTGCCTGTCTCATTTCCTGGGTTCTTGCACTGCTGCTCATCACAGCTGCCCGATCAAAATCCTTTTTTGTCATTCAGGGAGCACAAAGGAACTGGGACATGGATGCAAGTGGCCAGAAGAGCAGGCGCCTCAGGAGAAAAATATCTGGCACTTGAGTGCTGTGGCTTGGCTCATGATCTGAGACTGTTCCTTATTTTTGGCATAGTCACGTGTGTGGGTTTATCCCTATGTTCACAGGAGTGAACATATCAGTGTGTGGGTACATGGAAAGTTGTTTTGTAGTGCCTGTGCTCTTAATGTGTTTGCACTCCCACCTCTCTCCTGGCATATCCAGTAATCCCTGTGCCCCACAGGGATTTGTATTGTCCACATCCTCATCCACACAGCAAATGCAGAGGCTCCTTTAGTCCTGGATGAAAGTGCCCACAATGTTACTGTCTACTATGCACGTTGACTTGGCCTTTAATTGATTTATCATAAATTAACTAATTTTGCCTCTATTGCACGCTATTGCACTATTTGTAGAATGAGCAGCAACCCCAGAGTTTCTATCCCATTATCAGTCACTAAGCATTTGCTTTTGTTTTAGAACAGCAACTATTGTGAAGCACTCTGTAAGTCCTGACTGTGTGGTGCATTTTGATTGCTTATTGTGGTTAATTATAAAAATCAGGGCTGTGAACATTTTCCTTGCTGAAAGCCAAATGGGTCTTGCGAAAGAAACCAACCAAGCAACAAATGAACAACAACAACAAAAATTGGGAAGAAACATTTTAGCATATACTGTAGTGTTATCCAGTAATGACTTTAAAAGCTTTTAAAAGGCCATGAACCATATGGAATGGAACCACTTGAGACCCACCTCACACATTGCACCTTTGCTAACTATTGACCCCAAATGCCGTAGATCATGCTAATTCACTATTTCCAAACAGTTAAGGCATAACTTTTCTTTTTAAGGACAAAGTCGCACAGCCCAGAGTTTCAGAACTGTTCGTTGACCACTAAGAACCAGTATCAGTATCACATAATTTAATTAAAGCTGTGAATCACTACTTCTTCAATCATTAGATGAGACTCACAAAGTACCACCACTAAGATATCTATTGCATGCTAGTTTTTTTCTTTTTAGATATTTTGGTGTATTTCTTTACAACTACAAATGTCTTAAGGTCCTCTTCTTTTGGTCTGTTGGGAATGCTGATAGTTAAGGATTTCAATTCTGTCATCTGTGTTGTTTTATCAAGTCAAAGCTTTTAGTTTAGTGTAGAGAAGAGAGAAAAAAATCTGTGATGACAGTCTGTGAGCCAGTGCTGTAACTTCCTAGTGCTCTGTAGCTGTTGGAGGTGTAGCCATGTCTGCTACAATTCAGTTTTTAGTGCTATAAATGAATGTAACACACTTCTTTCAGTAAGGGCTGCAAAGGAATCTGTTTAATTGAATGTAGATAGCCATTAAGAAGTCTCTGCAAAGAGCTTAAGGGGCTTCTGCCAAAAAGGTTAAGTAACAATAAATACTGAGAAAAGAGAATCAGTCTGTAACCCAGAGCACTGGGGTGTTTGAAGCAACAAACTGTTTCTGACCCTCCTTCCACTTGCTTGTCTCTCAGTCTCTGTTCTGCAGTGAAAGAATCTCAGAGGTCTCCATGAGCACTGCTTCCACCTGGCTCCTCTGAAAATGTGCAGGGGGACTGTCATCACTGTTGGGTGTCAGTGTTGTTTCAGATGTGTGACCTCTTCCTTCCTGCCTATTCCTTCTTTATGTTCTTGTTCTTACTCCAGCATTTTTTCCCCTGCCTCCTATTTTCCTGGGTCTGTAGCTGTTCTGCTGTTCAATTTGCTTTCCAAGCACAATTCTGGCAGCATTGCTGAGCCCTGTGCTGGCCTCTGAAGTCCACAGTGACCTTGACTGCAGCAGGTGCTCCCCAGCTCTTCTCCCTGGAAACCACTGAGCTCCTCTCTGTGATTCAGGCTTTGGTGAACCAGAAAAATAGGAGCTGTCTTCCCCAATGTCTTTTAGCACTGTCTTGTTCTCTTATCAGAATGAAGAACTTGTAAGTATTTAAACACATCTCTCCCACTTAATCAACTCCTTTTCAACAGCAGGAAGGGTTGCAGCACTGTTGTGTTTTCTGTTTATCTCAGAAACCTTGGTGATTTTATGTTGCTGCTCGTTATCCAGTTATCAAAATTGTTTATGAGTTGATATTCTGTTCTGCTTCTGGAATATTTCATGTGAGGATTTAAATATCTTTCCTGCTGCTCCCATAAATTTTTTGGCCATTATTTGATTAAAGACCCTTCAGGGAGAAAAAAAGAACTTAATTCAGTGATTCACTTTCACAAAATTAGGTACTCAAGAGTTTTCACTTGCTTTCTTTTTATTTAATGAGATCTTAGTAGGTAGCTCTCTTGGTATCTTTCTTGTGGACTCACTTTTTTTATCTTTTATTGTATTTCTTATTGTTTATTTTTCTTTTTGTGATTTTGTTTTGGACTCTTTGGTGGCAAGAACAGAAAAAATGTGAAAAACTCGATTTCCTGTTATTAAAAATTTGGCCCTAACCTGAAAGGTTTTGCTGCATTTTCATGAGTTATCTTTTTTTTTCCCCCGTCTGACTAAATACGGAAATATGTTGATTCTGTGTGTAGAAGGAATAATATCTGTTTTGGTTTAAAAGCAGCCTTAGATAAAAATAACCTGGCATTGGATAGTTTTCCCTGACATCAGGCTGTGATTTACATTGCTTTAAACTTGTAGACTTTGAGTACTGAGAATGAAATATCACTCTTATTTCAAGACACAAGAGTGCCCCCCATAACTCTTATTCTGGGGTACGTTCCTTTGTTTTACAAACAATATTTGATGTTCAGATCTGAAAATGAAGTATTCAATTTAACTGAATATGTTTTAGCTTCTTTCATGAAAGGTGGTTGAAAATGAAATATTTGATAATTATAAGTGGGTGAAACTGATGATGATTCATATGCTCTGGCTTTTACATAACTGCTAAGGTGCAGATAGCAGAAAGCTTTCATGAGGATATGAAAAAAAAACAACATTGGAAACCATTGCAAGTCTGTTACAATTCAAGAGACTTCGGTTAAAGAGGTTTTTCTTTGTTTTGGATTTTTTCAGCCATTCCCCTAGGGATCATAGTCATACGAGGAGATTGTGACTTGGAGACTTGTCGTATGTACATTGACCGTCTGCAAGAGGTGAGGTTTTTGTGAATTCAGGTATCACTCACAAACCTATTTTATGGTTCATTCTGTTCTGAGTGCAGGGGTCTAATAGTTGCAACAAATATGTATCAAGAGTATTGCAATTTGCCTACCATTGAAACCAAAATTCTAGAATTAAGATATGATAACAAAAGTACTGAAAAATATTCCCTAAACAGGAAATTAAAAATCATACTGATTCTTTTTAAATTATAACAGAATTGAAGTGGATGCATGTGTTTACTTCTCCTTGATTTATAAAGGAGTACTAGGACTTTCCATATACCTTGTTGAAATGACATAAATTATGGATTAGAAAGTATGTTATGCAAGGATAAACACTGTGGTATTTGAGTGGGTCTAATTATGCAAATGTAGTTCTCTAATAATGGAGTAATATGAGACACCACTAAACACAGCAAATATCAACTAGATATTTTCAAAAACAGAGAAATGGGTGTTCAAACAGCTAACAATGGTTTTGCTCTTGTTCTTGAACACCTTGCCTCATGAGAGTTCATTCTACAATACACCCTGGGAAATGCAGACTCCAAATGCCTCATTACCTGAATAATTTTAAGTGTGAGCCCCTTTAGTGATAAAACTAATGGATTTTCATTAATGTATTGTCTGATTTTTTCAATCTCTTAGTGATAGCTTTTAAAAGCATTTACAAGTCTGATGACATTACATTTATAAACAATTTGTATATGAACACTTATAACAATAAGTGTTGATCTATTTTATGTAGGAACTATGAAGCTCATCCCTTCCATTGAACTCTTTGAGAGCCATTGACTTTCAATAGATTTTGGAACTCCACACTGGCAGTCTCAACAAGAAACTTAGTATCTCACTGTAGGCTTTCACTTTGCATTTCAGCCAGGATTCCTTTTATCAGATGCATTTCATTCAGACCTGGAGTGTGACTATAATTATCAGACATAAATCCATATTGTAAGGTGCTGCATATTTGAAGTATCCAGTACAGAAAATTACAGTGAAATACTAATGATGATGACCTCATCAGATTAAAAATGTGATCTTAGACTGAGTTCAGGCAGTTTTAGGTACAACCCCTGAAGGAAGCACAGTTAGATATTCTGGTTGAATTACCCATAGTGGTTGTGGAGGAACTGTGTTTCTCCAACCTTTTACAGGGTTTGTACTAATTTTTGCATGTGTGCTCGATTTGGCTCAGTCCCATTTGCTGGGAGTAGAGATGCCAAGGTTGGCTGAGCTCTGCCAATTTCCATGCTTCTGGAGGGCAACAGTCTGCAGGCCAGGCTCTTTAGCAGACTGTGTCAAGTGCTATAACTATTTGACAAAATGTCTATTAAAATAAATTAGATGCCTAAACTCTGCTAAATGTCAGGATCATTCTGATATGACCTTCTTGGAGTGAGGTTGTCTTAAAATAGAGAGAATTGTCAGTGATTTTCTTAAGTGCATTAATCACTCAGAAATATTTGCAAAAGTGTCTTAAAGATTTTTGACATATTTTCATTAATTTTGTTGCTGACATTGTAAATTTAGACAGTTCTCTTGGAACAAATAGATTTTTTTAACATGATAAGATACATTAGTGTAATCTCCTTTTTTTGAAACTAATTTTTTTGGCCAAATACATACAAATCTGAACTTTGAGTGAGAGCATTCCTTGATTTTTCTGTGGAGTTTGTTTCAAATGCTTAAAACCAGTGAAAAATACTTGCAAAATGATTTGTGTTTGCCCAACCACTTCAGATAGTAGAACTACAAACAGCTCTTGTTGCTGCAATCTTTTTCATCATTGCCATGTCTTTCATTTTCCTGCTAGGACCTACAGTCAGTAACCTCTACTACACAAAGAGTTCATTATCAGGTAAGATAAGCTTTCCTTTTAGTATCAGAACAGAAAGAGGCTTAAAAATGGGAATGACACTCTTTGCATTTGAACCCATATGTTAGAAGAATTTCTAATTATCTGATTATCTGATTTACCCTTAAATATTGGAAGCAAGTTCTGCTTTCTCTTGGACAAGTTTTATGGAATCACCTTTAAAATTAGCAAAGCTTGATGGTGCTTGTTATATTGCAATAGCAGTATTTTCCATATTTAAGTGAATGAGAAAATGTGTCCTGTAGGACGAACGACAAAAGTAAAATTGTTTCTCTGTCTGAGAAACTGAACAATGACATGTTGTATTGCATAGCTGTTGTAGCAAAGTCTATCACTGAGGGAAAAAAAGGTGTTTTAGCAGGCCCAGTCTCTTAAAAATTCTGTACATGACAGCCATCTACCTTGACTTTACATAATCCTCAGGGTAATTTTTTAGTCCATTCTAAGCACACGTGTGTTTTCTTCATGAGACAAATAGGTTTTAATTTAGGTGGATAGTTCTTAAAATTATGTCTTTCTGTTTTGCAACTTTATTCTACAATTATGCAATACAGAACTTGTCTTTTCTGTTGGAAGTATCATTCAAGAATGCATATTTCTCTCAGTAAAATAATTCATTGTAGAGTGCTTAAATTGGAAGTAAACTGAGTGAGACTAACTCTACTGACTCCTGAAATTATCTGATTTTAGCATGGAGATTTGGCACAGACCATGGTCAGTTGCCATAGTGCTTAGGATCACAGGACAAGTTTGCATGGTACTGATAGCATCTTCCTAAAAATAACAATGCAAGTCTTGTTGCATCAGCAGGAATGAGTTCACTGAGAAGCATACAGAGAGCCACCCTAGAGGAAGCAATTGTGGTAAAATTGCAGATAATTTCTTTGGGGTTAATGATTACTTGAGGGACGCAGAATTCCAGTTTCACGAGAATGCCTGTAGATGCTCTGACTGTAGGCACTATAAGCAAATGCAATTTGGCATGTTTTCCTGGACTTGCCTTCTTTATATCAGTTGATGGTTTGTTTCATTGTTTCCCTACCCAATGCTAACTTCATATTCTTGACATTTCCATCAATCATCACCCTGGAACTGGGTTTTAGAACAGTGTTAGTGTCTAGCAAATTGACTAATAAACCAGCACATATGATTCTGTTCCACTCATTATGAATTAACCTAAGTGGCTGCTGACTGCTCCATGTGTAGAGAACTGCCTGAGGTAAAATGAAGAACAAAATCTGTGTATATGGGGAGATGTACAAGAGAATATGAAATGTCAGAAATCAGCTCCATGCTTGGCTCTAACCTCTGCAGTTACAGCAGTATATAAATTAGTTGCCTACCCATTTTCTCTAGTGCACAGCAGTGTGAAATCCCTAACATACCATTCATTTTTTATGATTCTACATTTTAAATGCACCCTCTCTGTGTTTTGTATTTGGTACTTGTTTGTCTAGTAACCTTTTTTTTTTTTTTTTCTCAGTGGTTCATTTCTGCAAATTGTCTCATTAGGTTAATTTGAGATTTATTCCATATTTGTTGATATCCCTCTACATATTACAGAAATGGGAAAAAGAGGGGGATAAAGGGCATGAATAGGGTGCTTCAGCTGATTGAACTGTCTTCAGACCTCACTAATAAAGTGTCATGGGTACTTTTAAATCTCATAAATGCAATTCTCTTGTGTGATTCCTCTGCAGTTCAAAACATAGGCAGTCAGCAGAAATATTAGCAAACCAAGGTGCAAATGAGAAAAAATATACTGGAATGTTTTCTCATTCTGTTTTGTTTCTCTAATGAGTTTAATGCTCACAAAATATCATTCTCATGGACCTGAAACTTTGTAAGCTAGTTCTGTAGTTGAACTGTAATGAAGTCTTGGAGGGAGTATGTCACAACGTGCAATTTGTGACTCTTACCAGCAGTATTCCTACCTTCATTTTGTCAGCATTTTGTACTATATGAATTTTACTGATTTCTCCACTTTTTATAAACTGCATTTTAGTACACACCATTGGATGTTTTCTTCCTTTTGTCCTTTGTGTTGCAGTCCCCTCCATTCGACACAGGTGGACTAATTATTAAGATACATAAAGCTTTGTGCATGTAGACACAATGCCAGCAAGCCTAGCAGGTTTCAGAGATCCTTGATTTTCTGACAAACACTCCAGTGGCAATACAATCAGACCTAAAATCCCACAAGTCTGTTTGCCCGTATCAGACAAAGTTGTATTTTAAATCTGATTCTATTAAATCCCTGAGATGTGTTATTTGCTCCTCATGTACAGTTAGAGTTCACTTAATGGGATGTTTTGCTGTCATTGTCTCCATCTCTGTGATGCACAGAGGCTGGATACCATAAGCTGTATATGAGAATAAGGTTTATGGGATCAAGTAAAATCCTTCCTGTTGCTTTTACTTTTTCTTTTCCTGCCGTGTGACTTGATATACTACTCTGTGATCTGCTGTCTGAAAGAGGAGTAAAGTTTAATCTTGAGCCAACATGTACCTGAATTTACAACATTTACAGATGTGCTGATTGTACTGCTTAAGATGTGAATAATGTTAGAATCTGTGTCTATACAAATTGTGTGTGCCAAAGATCCATGCCACTCTGTTTTGCCCTGTGCAAATATGTTTGTGTTTAAATGTTATATGCAGCAGGTTTAGGAATCTGGCTGACCATTCACTGGCAGCATGAAGGAGGGCCATTATCATCCTCTGCTCTTTTAGATCCCTTTTGATCGCTTTTACCTCTCCAGTCAGAACTAAAAACACATGGGGTAGCCTGTTTGAGTCTTTGATAAGTACAGATCAGGAAGAAAATTTTAATTCCTCCCCAGTAATTTAATTTGGTTCCTGGGTTATATAGATTTTGCACACTGTGCAATGTCAGGAAAGCAAAATGAAAATGTCAAAGTCTAGAAAATAGTCCTTTTCATCAGAGAAGAAACAGTTTACTGGGTTTTCTTTAATAACATAATTTTCACGTCCTATCCAGGACCAGGAAAGCTCTTTCCCCAGAGTACTTTCTGTTCAGAGGCTCTCTCCTAGATGGTGCTTCCTAGATGGTAAGTGCATCTCCCTTCTGCTGTGGCCAGCATGCTGCCTGCTTCTGGTGTGCCTGTGGAGGATAGTTCATAGTGTAATACTAGAGAACGGTACCTGTTCCTTCTTGTTACACTGAGCAGGTAAAAAAGGAGCTGAGTGCCCCCCTTTCCCCTCTAAAAAATTAAACAGGCCCTTCAACTAGCAATCAAAGTGTGTCCTGTAGCTTTTTCATGCCACAGAGAGGCGTTCCCCAGAGGCAGGTTAGAAGCTTGGTTTATCAGTGCCTCTGCTGTGAAGAGCAGACTTTATTGCATGCACTGCCCGAGCTGAGAGTACAGCCAGTTGTGGCAATTCACTGCTTGGTGTAAGGCTGAGTTCTTTAGCCTGGTTTCTCTGCAGGTGTTGTAGTCTTTGGGCACTGCAGTGTTTAGGCGACAGAAATGTACCTCCCTTTCCTTGTAACTCTGCTGGAGAGCTGCACTTGTATTTGACCCAGACTTTGTCAAAGCAGATGACTTATCTGGGCCGTACATCAGGTTCCACAGCACTGGAATTAGCAGCTGAAATGGATGGCATCTGCTTTTATAAAAGCTTCAGCATGGAAGGCTTAAATTTTTAATGCTCAAAGCAAAACCAATTTTTCCTTGGCAATTTCTAATCACTATTCCTTGTCTCTCATGAGGGACATTGATAAAAGCCATAGTGAGAATCTGTTTGGTTTTTGGAGAAAGCTGGATGGGTAGATGTGTTCAGTTTTTGTCTTTAGTATTTGATATTCCTGTGAAGTGCCAAAATCTACAATGCTACATCACTGTGCTCTTGTGTCATAACTGCAGAGTGAATGAACCTGATTTCACTCACCCAAATAAATGCAAAGCAGATACAAAAAAATCACATCTGGTGAAGCACATTGTAGATGATAAATACTTTTTGGGTTAGTAATATAAATTATTTGGCAATGACAAGATTCATAATATGTGCTTTATTTAGTGAATCCCCCCATTTTCATGTGTTTTTCATGAATAGCATAAATTTCCCTTGAACATACTGGTAATTCAGAGTCAATATCTGTGGCCGAGCATTTGATTTATAAAGAGCTCCTAAGCATATTATTCTTCTTTAGATTCAGAATTTGAATTAATCCCATTAGACCCATCAAATTCAGTATATGCTTGGTATTCTGTCATCAGAACAAAGCAGCTTTTTCTGTCACATATTTTAATGTAATCAATTCTTCTTATAAGACTGAAATCCATTTTATACATTTTAAAAATATTTATTTTAAGTTAATATTTTTAGTGACTGCTGTTTCATTAAGTCTTATCTTTAAATTCAGCATTTAATGGGATATGAATATTGCAGAATCGTAGAATGTTAAGAGTTGAAGGGACCTTAAAGATCATCTAGGCCCAACCTGCCTGCCATGGGCAGGGATGCTTCTCATTAGACCAGGCTGCTCAAGACCTTACCCAGCCTGACCTTGAACACTGCCAGTGTTAGGGCATTCACAAGTTCCCTGGGCAACCTGTTCAACTATCTTACCTCTCTCACTGTTATTTCTTCCTAATATCCAGGCTGAATTTCCCCTTTTTTCAGTTTGTATCCTTACTCCTTGTCCTGTCACCAGAGTTCATGATGAAGAGTCTGTCTTCAGCCTCCCTGTAGACCTCTTCAGATGCTGGAAGGTTGCTTTGAAGTCTCCCTGCAACCTTCTCTTCTCCAGGCTGAATAGCCCCGAATTTCTCAGCCTGTCTTTGTAAGGGAGGTGTTCCAGTCCCCATATCAACTTCACAGCCCTCGTCTGGACTTACTCTGGCAGTTCCAGGTCCTTTTGCTGGGGGCAGCAGAACTGTACAGAGCGCCCCAGGCAGGGTCTCACAAGAGCAGGGTAGAGGCAGAGAATCCCTTCCCTTGACCTGCTGGCCACTTTCCATTTTACTGACGCCCAGGATATGGCTGGCTTTCTGGGCTAAAAGCTCACCCAGCTGGTTCATGCTGAGTTTTTCCGCAGCCATCACCCCCAAGTCCTTCTCCATAGGGCCGCTCTCAATCACTCCTCTGCCCAGCCTGTAGGTGTGCTGGGACTGCCATGGCTCCTGTGTAGGATCATGCACTTTGCTGAACTCTGAAATGAGGTTTACACTGGCCCACCTCTCAAGCATGCCATGGTCCCCCTGGCTGGTGTCCCTTTTCTCCAGTGTGTTCACTGCTCCACCAAGGCTGGTGTGAGCGGGGAACTTGCTGAGGGCATGCTCGATTCCATTCTCTGTGCCACTGACAAAGATGCTGGTCACAGTACTGACCCAAGATACCCCACTCATATAGCGATTAACTTATGTTCTTGTGGAGCCACTGTGACTTCCCTGACACAGGGGTTATTTTAGTACCCAGTGATGTTAGTGCAGCCCAGCTTGTCCATGCAGTCCTGCTCTGACTATTTTCTGCTGTTGTTTCTCTGTCATGCAGCAACTTCTGCTGATCGTTTTTACCGCATTGACAGATCTCAGGTAAGTTCTTATTTGTTCTTTGTTCCTATGGATTTATTTTTTAAAGCTACATCAGATGCAGCTTAAAATGAACTATCTGCCATTCTCCTGTCTGTTGCAAAAGGTTACTCATGATGTCTCATGACAAGTGGAGAAAAAAATTCTGGGCTGTTTTTCAGTTGATCTAATTCATGTTTCACTGAAGTCTTGTATCTGCTTACTACCAGTCTGGTACAGATCAGAATTTTCTGCCATTCTTTTCCTTATCAAGTCTTACTAGGGGCATCTGTGTGGCACCAATGTATTTGTATTTATCTTTTCAATGTTGCTTTTAGGCATCAGAAGTCTTGATCCTGTGTGTGTCTTTGTGTATGCCATGAAATAGCTATGGAAATTAAGGTGTTGTTACAATTTGAGAATTATGAACAGAGATGCACAAAATAGTCACAAGGAATCCCCCAAAAATGTGCATCTCTGCTGGATTGAAACCTGTGGCGTAGATCTGACAGTCTGAATATATTTTTTAAAAGACACTAAAAATTTTACAGGGCTTTTGGTGTTTCTGATTTGTAGCCAGAACATGCCAATTAGTTGCTCAGCATTAAGTGCAAATTGTTGATTTCACACTGTGGTTGTTTGTATCTGGTCCCCCTGAGAGCTGTGTAAGCTGTTTCTGAATCACATGAACATGTTACAGTTTCTTAGCAAAAGCAGCTGGTGCTTTAGCTCAAGCAGAGGGAGCTGTGACTTTAGTTCAGAGCTCCCCTGTTCAGTGTCTGCATGTAGACACTGTGGGACTTTTCACACAGTCAAACAAATGGTTTGATGTTGTAATCTAACATTGGGAAGGCAGGGGTGAAGAAGATACTGCTACAGATTAAACTGGGCAGTTTGACTCTGTTTGGCTTATTCTGCATTTCTCCAACCTTGATGCTGTACTAATGATCATTTTTAATGCCTACTCCTTCATCCTGTGATTCTGTGGGGAAAAAAATTAAATACTGTGTGTTGGTCCCAGTGCACAGTGGCAAATTTCCTACCCATTTCACTACACAGACAGGCATACTCACACTCAGTGGTTTTTTTTGAAAAACAATAAGCATTCAGTCTCAATAACAAAATAAAGGATGGAGAAAGAGAGCTTTGGTAATGGAGATGTGAAAACAGAATGTACAACTGGTGGAGATCTAGAAGTGAAAAGTTCTGTCAACCATCATCAAAGAAGAGACTTCAGGTGTTGGTCTTCATTTCAAAAAGCAAACCTCAGCTTTATGGGTAGACCTCCAGCTTTCATCAGAATGGCATAGTCATCGAGGAACAGCCTTTAAAGTGTTGCTGAGAATGTGCAGCTTGCTCGTGGGGAATCTTGTTTGGCTTGAAATCAATGGCAAATAAATTGGTGACTCTGCGGCATTGGTTTTAATGTGTGTGTATGTATGAGCACGCACTTCAATACAAAGTCCATTATGGGGAATCTTGTTTGGCTTGAAATTAATGGCAAATAAATTGGTGACTTCTGCTGCATTGGTTTTAATGTGTGTGTATGTATGAGCACGCACTTCAATACAAAGTCCCTTTGATATTCTTCAGGGAACCTAACATGCACTCAATTCTAGGGCAGCAGGGTACTTTGAGGGACCAGTGCTGCTGGTTCATTATTTGTTGCTTGTGTCACTCCAACAGGAACATTTGCACTTTGTGACGGAAATTTCGCAGGACGAGATTTTTATTCTGGACCCAGAGATGGTAATGTCTCAGCAGGTGGGGACGCCACCAGGAATGCCTGACCTGGTAGTGGAGCAGGCAACTGGGTGAGTGCTGCTGGAATCCAGTTTTCATCAGGTGTATTAGAGATGGACATCTCTTTCTGGCCCCCTTTTCTGAAGGATTAGAAGTTGTGGGAGGGCGGGTATTCGGTAGAAACAAATCCAGCTGTGGTAATGACAGGAGAACAGTAGTGTAACATCTACTCCATTAGGCTTCCTGGAACACACAGCAGGACTAGTGGACTTCAGCACCTTTTAACCACCTCACACCACCTGACCCTAAATCCTGCCATAAATCTCTAACGATTGAGTTACAAACTTCTCTGCATGGTCAGAATTCTGATCCCACTGCGTAAAGCCCTGAAGCCGTTAATGCCTAAGAATAATCATGAAGTGTCTCTGTTTCTTATCATCCTCTTGACAGACCAGAAATGCTTCTATTCTTCTTTAGGAACAGCACTCATAGTGAATTAATCTATTTTAACTTGCTATGGGTTGAAAAATGCTGGGAACCAATAAACATAAGACAGCATCCAAGTGGAGCACACAAGGGATATGAATGCCTTTCTCTTCCTCCTTCTCTCCTTAGAATATCGGAGAGGTGGAACCCTGCGGTTCGGAAGAGGATGCTGAGTGACAGTGGCCTTGGAAAGATTGCTCCCCACTATGAGGTACCTGACAAACAAAAGGACGCCAGCCAGACACATATGCTGCAGTAAGAGCCCTCTGCATTTCTCTGCTTAATGATGCACAGTCCCTGTCACCACAGACAACTCCTAATGTCTCCTTTAAGCTTAATGAATTGTGCTGACATGCTGAAATTACAAATACTTTTTGCTATTTCTCTTTTGCTTCTCCCTTCTGTTCTTCCTCTTTGTCCATTATTTTATGTGCTTATCTTTGTTTTGTTCTCTATGCACCCTCTCCTTTTAATAAACCTAAATCCAAGATTTTGAAAGAAAATACCTTATTTTTGATGTCTGAAGTTCCTGAAAATCTTCTTGGCAACTGTTTTGGTGAAAGGTCAAAGCATTCACCCTCAAGGTAGTTCTGATGCAATGTGATAAAGCATAACTGCTGCTTGCTGTCAAAGGTGTAGGCAAAGGTTTTCATATCTTGAACCATGTAGGATGGCTGTACAGTGGTTTTCTTTTTGATAATTTCCCCATAAAAGAAAATTTTGCCTTAGTACTATCTACTATGTTCAGATTGATTTAAAAATACCTCTTATTCTGCTTACCTATGTTAGAAATTGTTTTCAACTTTTTGGTTATTTCACTTTAGATTTTCAAAACTGCCAGTGGATCACTTCCAAAGATTAGATGGGAAATGTCTGTCAAAACTCTGTTCCTGGCTTTGAAAGTTATTTGTGATTTGGTGTCATATTCCCCCCATTCCCCAATAATTATGTTATGTATAATTGTGTTTGTAGTTCTACTGTATCAGCAACCCTATAGGCAGCTTTTAAGACATAGTATGGAAAAATTAGGATTAGTGGCAATGTGGCCTTTCTTCAGATTTTTTTCTGTCAGGATGTGTGTGGGAGAGGGCTACAAGGTACAGGGCAGGCAGAGCCTACAGCCCTGGGACAGGTGCAGTGGGGATGGCAGGCTGTCTAGCCATGTGGCTACCAAGTGGAAACTTTCCAGCTAATTGGAAACTGCTGTCAGGAGGAGATGTCATGGCAAGAAGGGGTGATCAAGGTAGCACTGCCAGGAGAAAATTGCCTGGTTTCCTCCCTGAGGGATTCTGGATTAGTTCTTGATATCCTTTGCAAAGTGAAAAATGGTGAATTTAGGTTCATTTTTCCATAGACTGGAATGGAAGGGCCCAAAATCTGAAGCTGGCAAAGCTGTGAGAAAAATGATGCTTAGACAGTTTTAGGCAGCGTGGAGAGATGGTGAGAACATGTGGACTAATTTCTTATTGATAAGAAGAATGATTTTGTTTACATAGCATGACTGGAAATGTTTGCTTAGCTGTAACAATTACATTTGGTGGATTTATTAAGCACAAAGTAAGCTACTAGCATTGCTCAGAGTAAAGTGTCCCTGGCACAGCCTACTATGAGGAATTGTTTATTTTACAAGTACTCTAAACTTTAATTTTTTTGTCTGAAATTTTTCATGCTAAGACTCAGTCTATGACTGATTATTTTTCTTTTAGTAAAAACTTTAACAAAAAAAGCCAGTTCTTTCTGAAGACAAGATTTGTAAGAAATGTGCTCCTTTAAATGACCTTCCTTCAAATAAATAAATCCACTGGTTCTTTCCTGAGATGTGTTAGGGCTGGTAGTGGAATGAAACTCATTGGAATGAAATTTTGGAAGCTTGACATTTAGTAAAATGTCATCATAATACCAAGGAGATGCCTTTTGCTGTCTTGAAAATTACCCCTAAATTTGCCCTGCTGATGAGGTTGTTTGTGCACTTTGGAGACACCTCAGATTCAAGAGCTCTGCTTTCAAAAGTTTCTGTCTGTACATGCTCACAGAGGAGTTATGCTTCTCTGTGCTTAATTCAGGTTGCAGATCTGCCTGCAGGGCTGAGGGAAGTGGGACTGTGCTGCTCATTAGCTGTTCTCCAGCAGCAAGCAACATCAGTCATGTTCAGATGGAGAGGGTCAGGAGAAGGTGTATGAAGGAGCAAGGGAAAGAGGTTGCAAGAGCCAAAGGAGTAGAAGCACAGACGGAGCATGTGCAGGGGCTGGGGAACAGGGTTAAAGGAAGGGAGCTGTTCAGGGCACAGAGGATAACCAGGTGTCTGGGGAGTCAGAATGGGAAAAGGAGGAGGGCATGGGGTACAGATAGGTAAGGGATGAGCGAGACAGGCTAGGGGCATGGGGGAAGGGTCTCTGTCTGTTTCTCTCCAGAATACAGAATTCTGACTTTAATCAGGTTATTACATAGGTGGGCAAGCTCTGAAATATGTTTAGACACTGCTTCACTTGCTGCCAAGGTGGAAGATGTATGGTAGATGACTCAGGGGACCTCAGTGGAGGCAGCAAGGTATTATTAAATTTTAGACAACTGAATGATGCCCTGTTGGACAGGCTTCTCTTTTCAGCATCTGTGACAGAATTTCTGAAAGGTGAAGATTTACAACAAACTTTTCTCTAGTGGCCAGATAACAATGGGCTGCTCATTCTGTGCATGTCCACTGTGAAGTAGGTTTGGTTACTGGGGGGCCACTACAAGGAGATTTTGAAAGAGTGTGGAGGGCTGAAAACTGAGAAATAGCATTTCTGTTGCCTCAGGTTGTATGACTAAAATGAATGGAAATTTTGTGCCTGCTTTCCCAGCTGCAGAATACAGATAATATTGCAACCGCACCTTAAAGGAGCACAGTGAGGGTAAATTTCATGGTCTTGAGAAACCTGGATACTATGGGGAGACTCTGTCAGAGATGCTTAGCAGGGTATGAATCATTTTGCATTCTGTGCACAGTTTTGGCAGTGTGGAAGAAATAGATCTTGAGGCTGTGTAGTGCATATACAGGAGGATAGCGAGAAGGTTTTCACTTAAACTCTGAGGCAAGAGTCCAGTAGAAGAAAATAGAAAGTGGCAATGTGACTAAAAGTTTTCATAACATTTGAGTGCAACAGGGTTGCAGTATGATGAGCTTCTGGATGTTTGACTTAGAAATCTAAAAAAAATTTCTTTAACATAGCGCTTGAAAGAAAAAATTACTACTTTAGAAAACATGATTATATTTTGGTAGCTGAAGTTGCTCACAGGTTCTTTGCAGAGATTTGTCCCTTCAGAAATTATTTTTCAATTAAAACTTGAGAAAAGGATTTCAGCAAAATTCCTAAACAGGGATATGGCAGAGAACAGAGCAGTCAATTCTTCCTGTACACAGAGTTCTCATGGGTCTTCTGAGAGTCATCAGCATCCAACATATTTATCCAGTCAGAAATATTGTGCAGCTCAAAATGTGTTATCCTATAGCCTAGGGCAAATGACAGGGGACTTGGTGTGAGAGAAGGGGTCATAGATGACACACTGGAAGTGCTTTCTCAGTGGTCATATTCTCTCCTAAACAAGGTATGACAACATCTGGTCATACTATAGCTTCAGGATGCTTAGAGTGTATCTGTCATCACTATATATACACATATAGATGTGTGCAATTGCATATATATATATATATATACTCACATATACTCACATTTATATAAAACTTCTTTAAGATAAAGTAATTATTTCTGACAAGTGGGGAATGTAGCTTAAAATTTGAAAGTGAATGATCCCTTATATTATTTCAATAAATGAAAGCAGAGAGCAGAATACCTGATCTAAAAATAATTCTAATGTTAGGTGTTGCTTTTGATCACCAGCTTGTTTGGTTAAAGCATAGTATGAATATAATGGTTTTGAGGTAGGGGTCTTTCTGAGAGAAAAATGATGCTTTTGTTTTCAATTAACTGAATTAATGTTATTTTCAGGTAGATGTTGGTTGATAGCATTTAATGTTTTTCCTTATTTGATAGCTCTTTGATCTGTGATGGATTGGACAGGACATGAAACAGTGTCTTGATGCAGTAACCATGAGCTGGGGCAGATTGTAGTTTAATAGGAGCATCAATTTAAAAAAAAAACCCACATTGGGAAGACAATTTACTAGGACTAGAGGTGCTTGATCTTGAAAAAAGATAAATATTCTGGTCTGACTGCATTGATACAGGAAATTGGACCCTTCCTTTGTATATGAGTGGTTTCATCCTATGATTAAATGCTGCAGTGAGATGCAGAAGACCTTACAACCTGCTGTGTGTTTTTTGTTGGCCATATATTTCTCTTCTTCATTGTTTGTCACCCTGTTATATGACAAGAGCTGGAAAAATTGATAAAATAAAAACCCCAACAGCATACAGAGATGAAAAGGTGACTGTATCTTGGTAGAGGTTTAATCTACATATTTTAATTGAAGTAATTAATTTTCCCACCATTCAGGGCAGTAACCAGCTCTTTTCTAGCATCTGTCCAGCTGTGATGGTAATGTGTTTCCCAAGCTGCTGGCTGCATTTTCTGAATCAAGTGCATGGCTTGTGAAGGGTGGGTGAAGGCTGGCCAGGATACCATCTGGTCTTGTTAGGGAGAGGAAGAAAAAAATGCCTGTAGGTGCTGGAAGATGGCTGCAGCCCTTTCCACTAAATAGACATTAATTAGCTAGTAATACCATCCAGGCATTGCTTTATGAAGCTATAATAACCTAGTTTCTCAGAGGGAAGAAGAAAAAGGCTAAATGCCAAGTGTTTCACTCAGCCACAAGAATCTGATCATTGCCCAGGAAATCAGTGTGACAACACAGATGTTGCAAGGTGGTTTAGGGTATTTTTTAAAGAGAAATCTTCATGTCTTACAAGATGAGATAAGCATCAGGGGTACAAATTTGCATGTTGAAGGAGAAAGAATGCTAATTTAGTGGAAGCTTAGATAATATAAAGATTCAGAACATGCAAGGCAAGGATTGCCTGATGACAGTGAATCTTCAAAATTTCAAAGGTTGGTAAGGACTTGAAAAATCCAAGGGTTTGCCTGAAAAATAGTGTATTGGAAAACTCAGCATCAGCTCCTCCATAGGCAGAGTTGCCTACCCTGGTGTTTTTGATAGCAAAATCTGAATTAATTTTCAGGTTCAGATTTAGTTCAAGCTGCCTTTATAAAATTATACCAGAAGAGTGAAGTGTGTATGTTTAATCAGCTATTTGTAT